TACTAACATGGGATTTTGTCAAAACTTGAGTGGGGATATGTCCTTTATTCAATGAATAATGGTGAAGGAGAAGACAAAGGAACGGACTTTTGAGTTGGCAATTCCAATTGCGTCCCCCCACAAAACTGGACACACATACATATACATTTATAGGAAGAAGACAAAATTTATGTCAAATGGAAACATGTTACTCTATATTTTATTATATCAATTAATAACATGTGGTGGATAATATATTGAAAACGAAAGTCGTGGCGCTTGGAATCAGCACACATTTGTATTATTGTTACTATCAACATCTTTTCAATCTGTCACTTGCCACACGTGGTTCCTTTTTATATGGTGCTTTCTTCAGACTGTGACACCACCTCTCTCACCTGTTCTTTTCTTTCGCCTGCCCTTCTATCTTCTTATTAATGCTTTTTTGATAATTATAAGTCTAGAACATTATTTTGAAAGAACTTTGGTGGGACTTAATTTAACTTGGGCTGATTGATTTAAATAATAAATCAAACTAAGCCCAAATTAAATAAAGGCCCAATTGAGTAAATATGAAGTACAAATTCAAGGGGTTAGACTTAAGGTTACTCATATCTAGAGATGACAATGGGTCCGATATTTTCGGGTACCTGACCCGATCTATCCCAAAAAGATCAGGCTTTACCCGATGTTTGCGGGCTTGGGCTTGGGCCTGGGCCTGGGCCTGATTTTAAGGCTCGACCTTGGGTACGGGCCAAACCTGGGTATGTCTTCAAGCATGGCTAAGCCCGATAATTTTAGTATTAATTATACTAAATTACCTTTATATTATTATCCTATATTTGGTGAGTATTTAAAAATAAATTAATATTTAAAAATTGTTTATAGAATTAAAAATATAAAAAAAAAATTAAAATTTATTAATATTGAAAAAATCACATTATAAAAATGGGCGGGCTTGGGTCGGGCCTAGGGTTACAAAAAGCCCGTCGGGCCTGGCTTGGACTTTACTTGTGATACCCATGACGGGCTTGAGCCGGGCTTGGATCTTTGTTATGAGGTCGTGCTTGGGCTTGGGCCTGGGCCTAGGCCAAGGGGTACCCGGTCCTGGCCCGGCCCATTGCCATCACTACTCATATCCGAATTCAAGACCTTGTTGCAGGCCTAGACGTCAATTTAAGACTTTGCTCTTGCACCAGCTATCTTGATTCATAAAATTTCACCAAACTAGCTGACTTTTAGTTGTTCAATGCATTAATGAAATCTGAAAGGTTTCTCTTTATATATAAATATAGGAACAATCATCCTGGATTTTATTAAATAAGCATCATTATATAATTCTGAACGGAAAAAGCCAGGATGATATTCATATCCATTCATGTACTATCAACACTAGGTATACATATGAAGTGCACATTCATTCATGGTGTTAAATACAAGGGCAGTTTAGTCGATCATGTTGGTTTGATCGATGATAGTATTTCTGAACTAAAGGGATCCTTTAATAATTAAATCTCATAGAACTAGGTAACGTTTAGATGTTCAATGCATTAATCAAAATTGAAAGGGTTCTCTTACTTCCCTATATATAGAAATAGAACCATCCGTCCTGTACTTTATATATAAAGGTTTACAATGACATGATCCCAATTCATTTTCTATCAAAAATGGGTAAATACGAAGTACAAATTCAAGGGGTTAAACTTAAGATTACTCTTATTGATCATGCAGCTCTGATTGATAACAGCATATTGGAATTCAAGACCTTGTTGCAGAAGCGTCGAGTTGCAGGCCTAGACGTTAAGTTCAATCACAGGAGCACCAGAAAGGCTGAAATGCTAATTCTATGTGTGGGGAATCGTTGCCTGGTCATTCAGCTAGGCCATTTAGGCTCAATTCCTGAGAGTCTGAAGAAGTTTGTGGGTGATGAGACCATTTGTTTCTGTGGGACAGAAATGAGTAGGAAAGATGTGAGTATTGGGAAGCATAATTTACGATGTAAAACTGGGGTTGAACTGGGGCATTTGGCTGCCAGGATTCTGAAGAAGCCGCATATAAGTTCATTTGGGGTGGCAAAGTTGGCTAGAGAAGCTGGTTTGAATTCTGTTTCTACAGGATTTTATGGGAATCCTCCGAGTTGGAGTGGAAGAGCTTTCTCAAATGAGCAAATTATGTTTGCCATTAATGAAGCTTATACATGTTATGTTATTGGCAACAAGCTTTTGGGTATGCTTGATGAATGATGCTTAAACATAAACATATATAAATGAAGCATTGTATGAAACTCCAGGTTGCAATCCTTGTTATCTCCCTGATCATCAGGCACCAAAATAAGGATATCAGTACTCTTCAATCATATATTTTCGTATGACTTCAGACATTAAACTAAGTACTAACAGCTAGAACAACTAACTTAAATATATATAGGTGAACTCCAGCCTCTGTTAACTTTCCAACTATAGCTTTAAATGCTAAGTAACTTCTTCATCTAAATTTATACTCTGCGTATTCCTTGCTTTGATGCCATTAATGAGAAGGCTTTCTATTTCCCAATTCCTACGAATATGCTTAGATTAGCCTATATATACACAACAAGCAATATCATCTTTGAAAGTCGGTTAATGATAACCCTTCATTTGCGCTCTAAATTGGGTAAATATGATGTTGAAATTGAAGGTGTTCAATTTAAGGTAAGTGTAATCGATCATCCTGCATTGCTTGATGATAAAATTTCTCAACTAAAGAAGGCCAACCTCCAAGCATCTGGGTTAGTAGAGTTGGGTAGGAAGGTCATTCTCCGACGAGAGTATTGGTTTTGTTGGCAGAGAAATTAGAAACAAGGTTAATACCATTAACAATGCTTACCTAATTTGTTATGGTAATGAATGCTTAAAGTCTGGAGTTGAACTGGGTGATTTGGCTGCTTGGATTCTGTGGAAGCAGGGCTTTTGCAGATGAGGAGATGAAGTTTGCTATTCATGAGGCTTTCTACATGTTATATGATGGGGAACAAGTTGGTTGAGACTTGAGATGCACAAAGCGCAGTCTAGCTAGAGATTGTAGTTGGATTACACACAAGTTCATCAGATAGTGCTCAAAATCATGCGTTCTTCAATGCCATTATTCAATAAAAGGCTCTCCAGTTTTCTGTATATATTTATATAATAATTTGATATTCATTAACTAAGGGCTTTGTTTCAAAATCATTCGATGATGGAATGATGAATCTAGTGAGTGAATGTTGTGAAATGTTAATCATGAACTCATTCCCTGACATTACGCTTTCAGAGTTTTCTAAGGGATGAGACTATATATATTTGTTTTGATGGTACAGGGATTAAGAATAAGGTGTTTTTATCTGTTCTGTCGACTATATATGGACGTATTCTTAGAGTTGATATACATATTTAACTTAGATAATGCCCAAAATCAATGAACCATTAATGGTGGTGGTTGTATTAAGGTAGATTTTCAATGCCGTAAATGAAAAGGCCCTCTATATCCAACTACCAGTATTCTTAAATTAGTAGATACACCATGTCAAATGTAATCCAACAAGCAAGATCATCTTTTCAAGTTAATTTAATCCCTAACTGGAGAACTGCTGCTTTCACTTGTGAGGAAATGAAGTATGCAGTTCATGAAGCTTGTACCTCTTCTATTATTGGGAACAAGTGATAAGATTAATTACACAGTTTTAAGATTAATTATGTTGTGTTCATATATGTTTAATAAATGTTACTTAGAAATGGAAGCTTTTGAATATTTTTAAATCTGTAATTTCATTTGATTGCTAAATTTAATGGAAGATTGAAATAAGAGTTGAATCTAGGTTGATTTATAGGACGAGGAGCATAATAATCCACCATCACGACTCAGGATCCACCATCACGACTCAGGACCCCCCACTTAAATGGGAATGTTTCGATAAGAAATCGAACTTGTGATTGTGCATTTATCCAAACCATCTCTAATTCGCCCCAACCATTTGGGTGTCTTTATCCAAAGATCATACATGGGGAATACTGACCATTATTTTTACATTAGCTGAAATTTTAGAATGAAGGGTCGCCGATTTTTTTAGCTAAATATACTAATATATCGTTATCAACAAGACAGAAACAGAAACAGAAACTGAAACAGAGTATTGTAGCTTAAGATCAAAGATTAGAGTTGATAAAATAAAAAAAAACCGACAATGCGGTTTGGTGGAAGAAGTTTGGACCAAAATGCGGTTCTGTAGAAGAGGTTTAAAACGGTACACATAAGGCCCGCTGTTTTGGCTCTGTTTGTTTACAGAGTTGAGCTCTCTCTCCAATTTCTCTGCCTTCAAAGAACGGTACGTGCATTATGATGTCATTTCCATATTACCCTTTTCTTTGTTTCCCGGGAAAATAATCGCGGAAAAGGAATCAGAAAGCCAGTGTGATTTATTCATGCCTCGGTTGTTTGAAAAGAGAAAACTTTTACGTTTAAAAATCTGCATTCCCTCTGTTTCTTGCATTTTCTCTGCAACCAGAAGGAGGCACAGTTGAAGAATATTAACACTCCAGTTGAAGAATAAGTGCAGTCTAAACATTTTAGAAAGGGTTTTTCATGATCCATGTTATTGTTTAAGATTGATTATTTACCTTTTTCTAAAATTTAATGTTTTTGTTATTGGTTATATTATGTTAATTGGTATCCAATTGTGGGAAGAAAAGAATGTCATGTCATAAAGATCAGTTTTTGAAGCTATGAGATAGATCTTCTTTCATGTTTGAAAGACTCTGTGTGCGATATGTTGAGTTTACGGCAAGGATATGTGTAAGAACATTATCTTTGATTTGATTGATGTGATAGACTAATTGAAATTTGTTGTGGGTTTTCTTGAAGCATTTGGTGTGTTGTGATGGTTTCTTGGCAAGGATTATCTCAAAATTGGGCTTTCAGTTGGTTGTTGTACTAATGGGTTGGTGAAAATTTTGTGATTTATGCTAGTTTGTTTTAGAAGGTTGAAGGCAAAATTAAAGAGATTAGGTATGTGGGTAGATTCAAGTACAGAAAGTGATTCAGCTGCTGATTTGGAAATTGGTAAGAAAATGAGTGGAGATGATGAAAAAAGTAAAGAGCTCGGGTGTAATGGTCGACATTTAAAGAGAATCTCCAAGAGGGAGCAGAGTGTGGTTAGGGGTCCAAATGCAGATGTGAAAGGTGACGATGGATTAGGTAAGAACAAGAATGTTTTAGGTTCTAGTGACAGTATGGAGTCGTTGGACGGTGAGGTTGGGGAGGAGGCAATGAGTCTTGGGAAGAAGAAAATGATGGTGGAGAAAGGGAAAAAATCCTCTTTTAATAAGCCTCCCAAACCTCCTAGGCCTCCTGGATCCCCATCATTTGATGAGGCTGACATGATGCTCGTTAGAGAAATTTCTGAGCTTGCAAGACAGAAGCAGGCAAGAACTGGTCGAATAAAAGCAGTGAAGAGGAGGAGGGTTGATAGAGCATCTTCTTCGGTCGTTAACATTTTTGCGATGATCATCACCGTTATGTTCTGCTTTGTGATAATCTTTCAAGGTAAATTTTCCACTATTGATACAAATTGGCACAAGTATCCCACAAACCCTTAAATCATACAAAAGTGAAATTCTGTTTTCATCCGACATTAAAAAAGATGGGTACATGTTTGCTGTTTAACTTCAATCATGATCAAAATAATCCACCAATGCAACTGGAGGCATCAAAGAAAGGTGAATTCTAGGAAATAAGCAAGCAAATTACTTGGATTCTGTCAAATTTTGCCAAATTCACATTTAGAAGGAAATCTATTATTCTGGTCAGAAAGTTTAGTGTTCTACTGGTATTGCAGTAGCGTCTCAGTTAATACATTTTCCTGCTCATGCTTTCCTTAACTTAGAAACTGTAATGTGTACGCTAACTGTGTGATTTGCAGGTATTTTGGGTTCACACCTATGATGCTCACTGTGAGGATATCCTTAATCCTGCTTGTTGACCCCTTTACCCTCTTCTTTTATGAGTGGAATTATCTGAATTGAGGCTTTTGTTGAGCTAAGCTGATATGCTACATATCATTGGCCAACTTCTGTGAATAATTTGCGCAAAATCAGGTTTTGTAGTACAATAAAACCTTTTAAGTCTGTGTTAAGTATTTTTTATCCAGTTCTTACACTTTTAAGTAATATATTACAGTATTGATTATCTAAATTCTGCAAAATAAGCTTATGTTGAGTTCTGTACATTATATTGGCCAAGATATATAGTAACAGCCAGAAAAGGGGCAGGTGGCCATTTTTGAACTGTCATCATCTTGCAATATTCTAGTATGGAATCATGAAATAGAAATGAACTACATGTCACTGATATTTACTGGAAAAATTTCGAATATTATTCCATAACTTCTCATGAGTAATCAAACAACTCATTTCGCTGCTTATAACATGAAATTTCTGGTACCAGTAACCTTTGTCCCTTAAATTCTAATATAGTTGACACAAGATTACAGATATTAATAGAACCAAACTCAAGATTTCCGCATCTCCATATCGAATTGTCCAGCAGTCACTTCTGCAATGGGGGAGTGTCTTCAGTTAGCCACTTCCAAAATTATCAGGTTTTGACAGGTTCAGCTCTCGGTCTCCATAGTCCAAGTCTATATTTGTGGGTGTGTTTCAGTATCAGCTTCCTCTGCCAACCCAAAGATTAATAAATCGAAAACTTTTTTAAGAAGGAATTTCAGAAGCAAAGAATCATAGAGAAGTTGAATATTGTACACTAAAGAGTGATCCTTACACATACTCTGTCAATGGAAAAAATTTAACTAGAAAAATCATACAATAGGACATGTGCACTCCCAAATAAGTCTCAATTTTATGCCACCGTTTTAATTCATGGTAAGAAATGCACCGCACAAGTTTGAGCTGACAATTAATTAATTCAACCTAACTTTGTCCCTGGCCAATCTAAACAACGTTTTCTATGCGAACACACATACGCCAGAAAGTAATTCAGCCACCAGTAAATTAATTGGCAATTCTAGAGAAGATTTCAATTCCTCTGCATAAAATATAACAATGTCACCCCCATAATATTTCTCAGTTCATATTATTTTCAGCCAATTGTTTGATCAGACATAAAAACACAGTGTTTCTGGAAATTGGAAATACTTACATGCTTGCAGGGAATACCAAGCTTCTTGAGCTTAAGAGTGCGTGTGACGAGCAGCTTCTGAAAGTCACCGATCTCAGATTCAAGCTTGGCCACATGGGATTCCACCCCTTTCCCTATACCATTGAGAAACTCTGGTATCCCAACCTTGACTGTAAACAACAAAAACAATCACACTCTCAAAATCCATTTTCAGATTTCTGACAGATTATTAACCTCTGGAAACATGAGAGAACAATAACTCCACTTAGCAAAGTGTATATCAACTACTCTACTTGTACAAATTTCACAAGCGTGTGAATCTAAAGCAACATTCAGCACTCTATTCAACTTCATAATTTATCTTCAGTTCAGTTTTTCAGCAACCAAATGGGAATCAATACTTTATTTGCTTACAAGAAAAAGTTGAGAAAACTACATAATTTAGGCTCCAACAATCGTACACCGCAAGCATAAATAACCACTCGTATTAACCTGACACAGCTGTTCATCTTTAACTCTAGCAATTACCAATTTCTAGAGAAACCTAATCAAAAGGACATGTTTTCTCACCCTCATACAGCTCCTAAACTAAAGTTTGAAACTTGTAACTAGACATTGGGTTCTCGTCTTACCCAAATCTCCCCAACAACAAAACAAAACTCAATCTACGGCAATTTATGCAGTTTCTCAGCAAAAATAGAAGAAAAGAAAAAGGAGGTTACCAATGTAGGGAGTTGATGACTTAGAGGAGAAGAATCTAGAGAACGATGCCGGAAATGGAACGGGTGCCGTAGTTGTGTTGATTATTTGCCTCCACGCCATTCTGGAATCTCCGTTCGAATTACTAAGAGTTAGGGTTTTGGGTTTTTTTGGAGAGTGGCAATAAATGTATGAACTTTAACTGGTTTTAGTTTATGGAGAGTATGAAAAGACAATAGTACCCCTCATATAATTTTTATAAAGTCGCTACGGCCAGACTCCCGGGTAAATCTCTGCAACTAAACAGCCATTTCCCACAGTTACCGATCTGCAGTTCTTCATGGAACTCAGCTACATATAATGTCGGCTACAATCAACCAATCAGGGTTAACTTTCATGGGGTTAGTGACACTGTTCATTACTGTCTTTTAGACTGATCAACTCTTAAAATTTACATTAGGCTGAATCACTTTTTATCCAAAACTTTCCAAAGAAAAAATTTCCTTATAACAGGATTTGATTTATTGCATAATCTGGTTGTTGTGGCCTGAATCCTAATTTCAGCAGCTTCCATGACATGTGACTTGGCTAGCTGTTTCAAGAAACTGATGGATTTATATAAGAACAGTTAGCTAGATGGTTGTATCTGTTTGAATGTTATCAGCAGAGAGAACTTTTAAAAACATCAAATAATTATCCTGGTTTTCTTCATTATCCCCTCATTCTGCCATGATCGTCTACTTTTAGTATAAGTGGTGCATTCTGTTGATTGATTGAAGTGTGTTTGCCTGTTAATATGATTATATAATCACTATTTGGATCACACAGTTACTGCTCTACTTCTGCCATGATTAAGTGCTTGTTTTTTTCTTTTTCTTCTTTCAAGGGAGGTTCTTATGGTGCATGCTGTCAATTGTAATTAGAAGAATTTGAGGTAAGCAAATTTCCACATATAGATCAATGATTTAGTACTGTAAATTTCCTCTGAATTTGCATTACACAACATCCTAAATGTACAGAGACTGCAATTTTTCATGCATAACTCGGGCTAGTGTTCACTGTGTTCTAGATTTTCCCCTCATTACCTGCCAACATCATGTACTTGTCTTTTCTTGACAAACTGGTACACTCAAACTTCAAGGCTTTACCAATCTGTGCCTGCAAATGATCAGCTACTTTAAATTTTGATTTCCCACCAGCATCACATGTCAATGATTTTGGTAACTTCTTGAGCAGCTTTACCGAACAGTTTGTTATTGGATTCATGAGTAGGAAAACAGGATCTAAGCATTTTAACCCGCTAGCAGTAGTGCCGTAGAACATCCCAACTTGAATGTCAATAGCAACCGGAATAATATCATCACTCATCTCAGCAAATAAAGGACTAAACCTTAGTAGATAAGGTTCTCTGCAAGTGGTTCCTTCTGGACAAACCACAAGATCATCACCTTGGCTTAGTAGCTTCTCCAATATCTTTGAATCTTTCTCTCTATCCCTTGTTAATCTGACAGTTTTAATTGGTGAAAGCACCTCAGAACACCTACTCAGACTGTATGTGACAGCAGTGAGAGGTTTCATTATAGCCATCGAAACATGGATCGGATCCAATAGAGTTCTGTGATTACACACATAGAGAAGACCCTTTGAATTTTCATTTGTCTTAATTGGGGTTGAGAAAGTTTTTGGTTTTGATGAGGTACCTCTCAACCCAATAAACTCTGAGATTGGGATGGAAAACTTGTAAGGCAATAGCAAGAAAATAATAATCCTAATGATGCATAAAAAGAACCCAAATGGAATCCATATGAACATAGATAAGGTGGACTTTGAAGATAGTCTAAAAGCCAATCTTCCATCATGAAAGATCAAAGGTTTTGGGTACTTCTCTCTTGGAAGAACTTGCCAATTTGCCTTCTCAGCTTCACTCACCAAGTAAACCACCTAACACAAAACCAGTTCATTCATATTTTAGAAATAACACAAGACAGTAACTTGAACAAGAAGAAATGAAAATAGATGGAAGGGATGAATTACTTCACAGTGAGAAAAGAGATTCTGATTTAAGGATTTGTTGGAGCAGCCAAAACCAATAATATCATGATGAAAATTGGAACCCCACTTCTTTTCCTCCATTAAACCAACAAAATACCCACAAAAACTCTTCAATTCTCTGCCCACAACACCCTCAACTCCCAAGTAATCTCTCAAAAATCCTTCCACCATAACTCTAGGCAATTCACTGACACCAATCTTTCTCCTATGTCTCATCACTACATCAAACCCTTCATAACCAACATCCTCCAAGAAGAACTTGGGCAAAACAGTTCTTCCTAGTCGAAAACTCTCCTCTCTAATCCCCACAAAGCACACAAAAACAACAATCTTTAAACCCATTTCTTCCCCAACCAAATAAACCAGAGGGTATAAAAGAAAGAGTAGAAGTGCTCTTATTATCCCTCCACCTTCAAATGCCACAAGCATGAAGTAAGGAAAAAGGGAAGATGACCTTAACAGAGCCCCCTCCACATGAAACATCAGAGTCTTGTTTGAAAGTGATGATTGTTGTTGTTGTTGTTGTTCATTGACAAGGCGAAATGGGAGCCTGAGAGATTGCATGTTACTGGATGCTTTGGATTTGAAGTTGAAGATGGTGTTGTTCTAGAGAAGAATATTCAGGAAGTATGATTTTGATTTTCTGGCCATACACGTTAATTTAATAAGTTCTTATTTATTTAATATTATCTATAATTAAACTCTTATAAATTATTTTTGGCTTAATTAATGTGGGGTGTCTTATTGTCAACTTGAAAGAGAAGTGATTGAGAATATTGAAAGGAAAAGCTATGAATAATTCAGACCCATAAACAGAAATAATTGATGATTTGCATGGAGAATATTGACGAATGACAACTGAAATTTCCAATTCCAATAATAATAGAACACTGCAACAACAAGCTTCTTAAACAAACACATTCGATTGCCCAGTTTCACTATTCTCTGCCACTGACATAGATATATCCGCCACCAATGCAGGCCAGCCAGTGACGTCAGATTCCGACGACCTCAGAGAGAGATGGCATCAGTTCTTGGACGACAATCAGACAGTACAGCCACAGAAGAGAAAGAAGAAACAGAGCATGGAGACAAGAACCACCGACTCCACAGCCGTGACCAAACTCCACACGACGTCGTCCACGCTCAACTCCGACACCGTAAACATCTGTCCCCACTGTACGCCTTCGATGTGGCCCACCTTCCCCACGCCAATACTACCGGAAAATTTCTCTTCATTTGAATCGAAGTGATGAGTTCTACCAGGGGTGTTCCGTTTTCCAAATTTAAGGAATCGGTTCCGGTTCCGGTTCCGGTTCCTGGAACCGGAACCGACCTTGGAACAGTAACCCTAAAAAAATTATCAAACAAAAACAGTCAAAACGCAAATTGAAAAACCGCCTTTTTTTCTCTCACTCGAAAACAAGAACGCAAGACCTACTTTTTTTTTTTCTCTCCCTCCGACTCTCGTATTCATTCAATACTAGGGCTTCACTGCTCTCAATCCGAGTATTCACCAATCGAATCGATCGATTTGTTGAAGATTTTTGCCGGCTTTTGACTTGATTCGGGTAAGTTCTTCAATACCCAAAACCTCCTCTCTTTTTCTCTCCCTCTAGACTCTAACTCTTATATTCATTCAATACTAGGGCTTCTCTGCTCTCAATCCCAGCATTCACTGATCGAATCCATCGATTTGTTGGAGATTTTCGCAGGCTTTGATTTGATTTGGGTAAGTTCTTCAAAACCTAAACCCGGATTGTCTTATTTTGTGTATTCACGCATATTTGTCACTTTTTACGCAGCCTTTTGATTTTTTTGGTTGTTGAGATTCCAATAGAAGAAATCGAATCATGGGTTTGTTGTGAAATCTAACTTGATGAAACTGTAGCAAACAAAACTAAGAGATACAAACAGGGTGCGCTGTTTTTTCTTCGTTTCCTCTGCATTTTTACACACTGATATTGTCTGTTTCCTTGAGTGGTTATTAGCTGAATCCAAATATCTCAATTTTCCACATATTGTAGTACTCAAAACTTGATATGTCATGCTCCTTGGCACTTTTAGAAGGGTTATTGAACCACTATAAAGAAGCCTGATATAGACATTGGAATTTTACAAATAAAGAAGGCTGCAAACTGACATGAACATTGGATTTATGTTTTAGGAAGGGTTATTTGGTTATGGCCGTGTTTTCCATGAATTCACCACAAATCAATATGGGCTCTTGATAGACTTTGTTTTATTGTAAATCTTATCTTAAGGAAGAAGTGTTGTGTGGAAACTTGTGTACATGGTTCATTTTAACTTCTATTAGGATTCATAAGTTTGTTCTTGCCATTACTCTGCCCAAGTAGTCCTTGTGATGCATTGTAAGAGTCTATTACATGCTTTTGCACAGCCTTATATTGGTAAAATGAAAACAAATGATGAGCCAGGTTGATCAAGAACATGAAATGGTAGAAACTAGTTTGTTTTGCAGTCAAATATGTTTATACTTTTACAAGTAGGTCTCTTATAATCCTATTGGACATTCAATTTAAAACTCTTCAGATTTCATGCCTTTGATGAACTGTAACTTGTAAGTCTAATGCCCTATATGCTGGCCTGATTTTACACATGTTTGCAATTTGACTACAAAATTGAATCTAAGTGATGAGTTTGACTTAGAGGATGGTGTTTCTAAGTGGGACAAAAGTATAGTACCGAGGTCAGTTCATTTTCATTTTCTTTATCCTGATTAAGGAAACATTTGATCCTAAAGTAGGAAACAAAATTTCAACAAAGTTGTAGTTTATTTCAACAATTGAACATTGTTAGAATTTGATCAAATGAGGTACAAATTGTCTATGTATTCCTCTGTTTTCTCCCCTGTTTTTGGAACTTTTCTGTTTATATACTTTTTTTGAGTGATTAATTTCTGAATCTAAATTCAACAATTCTTCCTCAAATTGTAGGAAATTATTTTCTGAGGATTCATGCATGTTATTTTCTTTGTTTAGGGAACAATGTCATCAAGTAAAGATATCGAAATGCCTAGTATTCCTGGAGAGGCTACATCAAATTCAAAGGTATCTTCTATGCAATCTATCAATGATTCAATATGGCAACATTTTAGAAGAGTTGATGATGAGACAACCACTTGGAGATTTAATCAGGTGTACTCTAGGTTCATGCTTGCTCAAATGATAATTGTTGATGAACAACCTTTTTCAATGGTAGAAGAGCCAAGTTTTAGAAATTTTGTTGATTCATTGCAACCTTTATGGACTCATATATCACGTTTTACAGCGGCTAGTGATTGTATGAAGATTTTCAACTGTGAGAAGGTATTGTTAAAAAATAAATTGTTTTCTTTGAAGTCTAGGATTGCTCTGACAACTAATATATGGACTTCCATTCAAAACCATAACTATTTATGTCTCATTGGTCACTTTATAGATGATAACTGGGTTTTACAGAAAAGAATTCTAAGTTTTGTGACCATTAGTAGTCACAAGGATAAAGAGATAGGGAAAGTGGTAGAGAAGTGCATTCTTGAATGGGGTATTGAAAAACATGTGTCCACTATAACGGTGGATAATGCTGATGCTAATGATGTGGCAATCCTTTACTTGAGGGACAGATTAGTGGATAAGAATACCTTAATTATGAATTGTGAATATTTTCATGTGAGATGTATTGCTCATATTTTGAATTTGATTGTGAGGGATGGTCTTAGTGAGGTAAAAGATTGTATTAGCCGGATTCGTAATTCGGTTAAGTACGTGAGGAGTTCTCCCACTAGAGCCCAAGCATTTGAAAAATGTGTGAAAGAAGAAAGGATAGCTTATAAAGGTGTTGTGTGTCTTGATGTTGCTACTAGGTGGAATTCCACTTATCTCATGTTAGATGTTGCAATAAAATTAAAAAAAGCTTTTCAAAGGTTGGAAGATGAGGACCCAAACTATAGTATTGATTTGTCACATGAAACACCTTCAGTTGAGGATTGGGAAAAAGCAACTGTGTTTGCCAAATTCTTAAGAGTATTTTATGAAGTTACAAAAAGGATGTCGATGTCGAAACATGTGACTTGTAATAATTATTTTCAAGAGATAGTTCGCATTGTCTATTATTTGAATGAATGGGAGAAAGACTCTAATTCTAGTCTTCAAGGCATGTCTAAGAAAATGAGAGAGAAGTTTCATAAGTATTATGGGAGTTTTGACAAAGTCAATGTGATGGTGTTGATTGCCACGGTATTAGATCCTCGGTGTAAGATGAAATATGTGGAGTGGTGCTATAAAAAGATTTATGCCAATGACTTGCAAAAAGTTGGGATGATGTCTGGAATCTTGAGAGAGGTGTTACAACGATTTTATGAATTTTATGAGAAACTTGTATCAAGTTTAGAAGAAAGTCAAGCTTCCAGTTCCTTTCAACCAACGGGAATTGATCAGTCTTTAGCTGTTGATGTTGGTAATGATGATGATAGTGGCTTCGACTATGACCAAGAATTTTTGGAGGAGATGAGAGAAAATATACAAGATGAAAACAAAACCGAGTTAGAACGGTACCTTGAGGAGAAATCTAAACCTATTAAGAGTGATTTGAATGTCTTGGATTGGTGGAAACTAAACACATCACACTATAAGGTTCTCTCACATATGGCAAAAGATGTCTTTGCAATTCCGATGTCTACAGTTACTGATGAGTCAATTTTTAGTACATCGGGTCGTGTACTTAATGAATTTCAGAGTTCTTTAACTCCACGTGTTGTGGAAGCATTAATTTGTACACAAGATTGGTTAAATTGTGTACCTACACCAACTCCTTTTGAAGATTACTTGAAGGATGCAGAAGCTTATGATTCAGGTAACTTACTAATATCAATATCTTATATTCTTATTTAGTTAATTTCTTTCTAAATAATTTTATTCAAAAGTTTTTAACATACTAATTAACTTTCTTGTACTTATTTTGTAGAATTGAATGCATTTGAGGAATGAATATCCATTGCGAATTTAGAGCGTGAAGCATGAGATGTTACATTGTTTTGTTATTTAAAATGTTATGTAATTTTGGGAATAGTATTTGGAAGTTTATGTAGGCGTCGTCGTTTTTAACGTTGTTGTGGAAATTCAGATATTTGAACACTATAATCCAATCCTTTCACTTTCATGGTATGTTGAGATCAATGAGATGTTTCAAATTTGAATTAAGCAAATGAAATTAGGTAAGATTAATATAATTAATTAATTTCATGATTTATATAAGGTAAATAATTTCATCTAATAATATTTCTTCTGTAATTGATGATTTGCATTGAGAAAATTGGGTAAATAAATTATAAAACATTGACAACAACCACCTTCTTTGACAAACACATTGCTTTGCCTCTACACTTTAACACTTTCACTACTCTGCTTAAACTAAAACCCAAAATTCAAATAACATCCACGGGGCACACTCTGTCACTAACATAGATATTTCCGCCACCAATGCCGGCCAGCCAATGACGTCAGATTCTGACGGCCTTAGAGAGAGATTACATCAGTTCTTGGACGAACAATCAGACAGTACAGCCACAGAAGAGAAAGAAGAAACACAGCATGGAGACAAGAGCCACCGACTCCACAGCCGTCACCAAACTCCATAGGACGTCGTCCACGCTCAACTCCGATACCGTAAACATCTGTCCCCACCGTATCGCCGTCGATGTGGCCCAGCTTCCCCACGCCATTACTTACAGCCGGAAAATTTCTCTTAATTTTAATCGAAGTGGTGATGTGGTTCTACCACCTGGTGGTAAGTGTATTTATAAGGTGAGTGCATGTGATGGGGGTCCCAGTGCCACTTGAATTATGGAATTTTTGTTTTTTTAGTATATGAGACAAAATATTGGTTTAATTTTGAATTTTGTTTGGGTTGGGATGGAGGGAAATTTTCAATTTTCTTTATTTTATTGGTTGGAATTAGTTGGAATACATTAAGATCCTGATTTTCGTTTTTCAACCAAACATTTAGAAAATAAAAGATTTAATATATTATATATTAAAGAGTAAACAACATATTCCCACCCAAGGTTTGACGAAATCCTAAGTTGGTACACTAAGTTCCATTTATTCCAGATTCCCACCTTTAAAATAACACTGTTAACAATTTTTAGGGTTGTAAGGGTGCAATTACCATAATACCCTTAACCCTAAATTAATAAATTATGTTTTAACCCCTAAATTACTAAAATTAAAAAAATTAACCATCTTATTTTGAAATTATTTTAATTACACTCTCAGTGACTGCGCACCATCTCCGTTTTCATCGGATCTGGGCTATTTCTAATGGCGGCGAACCCCCTGGTCACCTTCATCACCTTCCCCATCGTCCGTCGTTCAAAACCCTTTTGGTTCCCGACTTATTGGGCCCTTCAATCGTCGGCACCGTTAGGCTTAGGTTTTTGACATTCTTTGTTGGATTTCGGTCGATTCTGATGACTAAGATCCAACTGGACATCCCCACTACAACCAACGTCTCCAAATCTACAAAATCCCTATGTCCCCAGCAACTGTTTAGTAGCTATTCGCCGGTGGAGACTGATAAAAACCAGTTGTATGTGGCGACTGTCGTGGCTAGCGATCGGCGAGTAATGAGGGGTTGTGAAGGGTAAGGTTTTGTAGAGGGCAGGACGAGGGTTCGAATGGTGGTGACAAGGGTGATTTTGGGTGGAAGAATAGTCGAAAAAGGGCAAAAAACATTGACGATGGTGTTGGCTAACGTGCATTGGAGCTTTATTAGGGGCGACGATCTGCTAATGTACGCCTCCTCTACAAAATAACCAATTTACCCCTGAGTCGTTATATCTAATCATTTTCCGTTACTTTAAGGGTGGAAATTGAAATAAATAGAACTTAGAGTACCAACTTGGGATTTCATCAAACCTTGGGTAGGAATATGTCGTTTACTCTATATTAAAAGATAAATAATACTTAAAAATTGGTTAACAATGTTGTCGTGGAAATTTATATACATATTTGAACACTATAATCCAATCCTTTCACTTTCATGATGTTGAATTCCCCATCTAAATCTATTGGGCCAAAACACAATCAATGTGTCATCTTGAATATTAAGCAAATGAAATTAGGTAAGATTAATGTAATTGACTAAATGAATTCAATAGCAAATTAAACCGCTCTTGCACTTCAAACTTACGTCAAAGAATAGGACGCATTTTTTAGTTTATAATAAGAGTAAACAACTTTTTTTCATCAAAATAATGACTTAAATGACACTTTTTCACCCACGGGCTTTGAAAATATTACTTTTCTACCTAAATTTATATTACAATTTTTTATTATAACATCGTTATGACCTTATATCACCACGATTCTCTTTTCTGATTATCACTCACCAAAACCCTCAAACCTCCTCCCACCGACCCTGTAAATCGCTGACAATCGAGTGATTAGAGTTTACACAACTACCCTTCCCAAGTCAAATTCTGATAAATCACAATTACCAAAATCCAATATTCCATCACCAAAAAGTTTATCGGCCTCCCATCTTCAAAACCCTTAACACTCTGGATCGAGTTTGCTCTCTGTTCATTGTCAGAATATAAATTTGGATAATAAAATGGTATTTTAAAGGTATGTGAACAGAAAAGTATCATTAAAACATTATTTGGATGAGGAAAAGTGGCAAACTCTTTATAATACAGTAAAGTTTGCTGCCCCATGTATTTGTCTGTAGAGTTCAACCCTCTTCTCTCACTGCTTGCATCTATTTTTACCCTCATTTCTCAAGGACTGAACCTGCAGGGAAGAGCTATGGTGTCCTCACCATTACACCAAACTGAGTTACTCCCTCAGAAATTTTTAGAGTAAACAAGTACATTATACACATGCAATTAAAGCTCTCATTATTTGCTCATTTCTAATAGGTTTACATCTTACTATTTGCTCGCCTTTTCTACTAATGAAATCATTTAGATCCTCTATCATCTCACATTATTGCTACCGTTTTCTAATAGGTTTTATGCACGATTACATCCTGCTGTAAACCACACCATGAACGTTTTCTCCAAGAAAATTCAATAAACGAGCCTTGAATTTTCTGGAGTTAGGATTTGGGGTGGTAAGTGAAAAGGGTTAAAAGTGTGGGTATTTTTTTATCTTTAGTGAAATGAAAATAAAAACTGTAGTTGGAGTATTTAACAACTAAATACTATGAGTAAAGAAAGCAGTTAGGATAATTAACTATTTAAGATCCAATAAGAATCAAATCAATCGCTTTAACATTTTCACACGATCCCTTCTTTCTCCACTTTCTCTGTCATTTCCCAAACAAAGACATGTCGTTGAGGCCCAGCACTCGGACGGAGGTGAGAAAGAAGGGCTACAAGACCGGCGTCGATGCCGAGGAGGCGCGGCGGCGGAGAGAGGACAATCTGGTGGAGATCAGAAAGAACAAAAGAGAAGATAATTTGTTGAAGAAGAGGCGTGAAGGTCTCTTGCTTCAGTCTCAGCCACTTCTTGATGCCTCTCAAAACACCGCCGCCGCCATTGAAAAGAAGGTACGTGCTTGCTTCCTGATTTGTTTCTGCATTGATCTTTGTTTCATGTTTTTTTTTTTTTTTTTTTTGGTGGAAATCGATTTGTGTGTTAAAACTGTAGGGTCATAGTGATTCGGGCTTTCAGGATTTTAGAATTGATTAATTGTTAGTAACTCTTTATGGGTTTATCAGTTAGGCGTTTGTTGTAATTAGAAGCCCTGTTGAAGTAAATTGAGTTTTAGTTGTGGGTTTTCACTTATGATCTGGTAGGAGCTTGGGCTATTTATGTAAACTGAGAAAGAAAATCCAAAGAAAAAGATGATGTTATATATGTTTATATTGTTAAAATGAATTCATTGTGGTAGGATTCTAGGGGATGATGATAGGGTTGATGTGGTATGCCCGTGTCATCTAAAACTATCTCGTGTTGATGAGTCCTTCTATGGAAGAATCTTGTGGATTAGTGTGGAGTAGGGGCTTTTTTTTCTTTCATTTATGATCTGTGAGGAGTTGGATGGATGAAAGTGTGAGTGATGTCATACACTTGTCTCACAAAAACCTATCTCGGGTGAAGAGTCATATATTGACGAATCGTTTGGAGAAGTGTTGAGGAGACAGTCTTCTTCTTCAGTGTCAGCAGCTGTATAATGCTTTTCTTTTCGTTTTTGCTATAAGAGAAGGGGTATCAATTTAGCCTTTATTTACATCTGATTGTTTATTGGTCTTTGAAAAAAGTGGATATCCATGCAGCTTTCCCTGATTGTTTGAGTGTCTGCTAACTAAATCTCTTGATTTGGTATAAATGGGTGGACTCTATGTGTTAGTATAGTCATTGTTTCATTTAGAAGAATGTCCAATAAGGACATTTATTCTCATATTTGCTTTTGCTCTCGGTGGTGTTTGATTCAATAATTATTTTTAATCCTTGTACCTTTTTTTTTTAATACTGTTGTTGTCTAACAGTTGGAAAGTATTCCTTTGATGGTACAAGGAGTGTGGTCCGATGATCCTTCATCACAGTTGGAGGCAACTACACAGTTTAGAAAGCTCTTATCAATTGGTATGGACATAATTCTGTGTTATTCTTTTATTGATAAAAATTCTACTTTTTATTGTTGACAATGTGAACTTTATCATTGTGTAGAACGTAGCCCTCCAATTGATGAAGTAATTAAAGCTGGTGTCGTCCCTCGCTTTGTGCAGTTTCTTGGTAGGCATGATCTGCCCCAGCTACAGGTAAGAACTATTTCTGGATTTTGTCTTCTTGTTTGAGTAAAATAATGTGTTTGAAGATATTGATTTAATGTCATGACTACTGACTTTGCTATCACGAGCAGTTTGAAGCTGCATGGGCATTGACCAATGTTGCATCAGGGACATCAGAGCATACACGAGTTGTCATTGACCAGGGTGCTGTTCCTATGTTCGTGCAGCTCCTTAGCTCTGGCAGTGATGATGTCAGAGAGCAGGTTGACTCTTATGTACATTTGTTTTTGTTAATATATTCCTACTTGTGATCACATTTGGAAGAAATTGAATAAAATCATCTTAAATCATAAATGTTTCAGTGTAGTTAGTCCTATTGAAGTGTCTTGTGATTCATTTATTGTCAATATCTAACTGCTTTATAAGTGTCTGACAATAATTCCCTTGATATAGCTGTATGTGCATAATGTCTCACTTAATTTCACTGAAACTGATTTTTTTTTACAACCTTTAGGTTATCCTGTATTAAGTTGCTATTAACATTTTTGCTGCTTTGTTGTTTCTTCATTAGGCTGTATGGGCTTTGGGCAATGTTGCTGGTGACTCCCCTAATTGTAGGGATCTTGTTCTTGCTAATGGTGCTCTCGTGCCATTACTATCTCAGCTTAATGAGCGTTCAAAACTATCCATGCTGAGGAATGCTACATGGACTTTATCGAATTTCTGCCGTGGCAAGCCACCAACACCATTTGATCAGGTAGGGGATCTAGAGAGAAATTTGTAACCTGCTGTTCAGTGACTAAATCAACTTTCAGTTGTGATATAGGTTTTAAATGTTGAACATGTTTTGCTTGGTTTCTGTCAGGTGAAGCCAGCGTTGCCAATTCTACAGAAACTCATCCATTTGAATGATGAAGAAGTTCTAACAGATGCATGCTGGGCTCTCTCGTATCTTTCAGATGGTCCAAATGACAAAATTCAGGCAGTGATTGAAGCTGGCGTCTGTCCACGTCTTGTGGAGCTTTTGCTGTAAGTTCTCCTGTTTGCTACAAACTTTCTCAAAACCAGGGCTGACCTTCTCCTATGTTTGTTCACATTTTTCATAGCATACTTGACTATTACATTTTCCTTCAGTGTACATGCATTCTATTATTATGATTTGGTACTTACATAACCTTTGAAACTGCTGCTAGTAATTAATTTCTGTCTTCCAGGCATCCATCACCTACAGTTCTGATACCTGCTCTTCGAACAGTAGGAAACATTGTTACTGGAGATGATGCACAAACTCAGGTACTTCCAATATCTTCATGTATTCACTAATTTTTGGGTGCTTTTGACTCTTTTTCCGTTTGAACCTACTTAGGAATTAATAACCTAACTGCATTCTATTGATTACAATATGGGGCTTGGATTGTATTTGATTTGGGCAATTATAGACCAAACAGTCTCTCGAATCTCTTTTTGTCACATGTAATTTAGTGAAGTAATCTTTTCTTTCATAATTTCACAGCAGCAAATAACTGAGTTTTGTATTTCAGTTTGTAATTGATAACCGAGTGCTCCCTTGTCTGTATCAACTTCTTACGCAAAATCACAAAAAAAGCATCAAGAAAGAAGCTTGTTGGACAATCTCAAATATTACAGCTGGGAACAGAGCTCAAATACAGGTATGAAGAACCAGCTTACTCTTCCTATATCAGTATTAAGAACATTCATTGTTAGATATTTTTTTAATAAGGCTTCATTGGTAAGTTCCCATACTAAATTTATAGCTGGCTGATTACCTTATCAGACAACTTTGTCTCCATACAACTTTATTGCTTGTGTTTTGTTTCATTGTTGTCTTATACCCATGATACGTCTTTTGGTTTCCATTAATTTGGCATAAAAGGGTATCTTAATTAATTGCATGATATTGTTCAATGGGAGATGAAGAACATGCAGATTGTTCTTGTCTATATGTCAAGCGGCTCATGCATCATATTTACTATCTGAAACTCTGGCAATTATTCCTTCTTTTTTTTTTTTTTTTTTTGTGGAAAGTAGTATTTAAGTTTTTAATAACTTGCATGCAATGGTTGCTGGATTATGAAATTTGGTGATAAATGATTGAGTGCTTTATCTTATTTTTCTTGAATGAGACTTCCGCAAATCTACTTGGTGCCTATGAATGTTACTTACAAACATTATTGATTGTTTATAGTTAGGAAATAAATAAATTGATTGTTGGGACTCATTATACTCTGTTAATTCGTTGTCCTACAGTCTGTTATTGAGGCCAATATTATCCTTCCTCTTGTACACCTTCTCCAACATGCAGAGTTTGAGATCAAGAAGGAGGCTGCATGGGCAATCTCAAATGCCACCTCTGGAGGTTCTCACGAACAGATTCAGTATGTTACTTTGCCCTTTTCTTATTTTTCCCTAATTGCTTATGTGCATAGGGATGTGAACTACTGGGAATACTTGCACACTAACTTCATTTGGCAAAAAAAAAAAAAAAAAAAAAAAAAAAGAAAAAGAGGAAGAACCTTCTTTTGGTTATATGGCATGAATGTTTCAAAATGATATTTAAAATGTAATTATTTGTTACAGTAACTGATTGCTAGCCATTGCAAGGTCATGCCTGCTTATAATTTCTGTAAATTCTATTGCTCTAATTTCATGACAATGTCTGATGAGAAGAATTTACTTTTGTGGGTCCTGACCTTGGGAACCCTACAATGTGCAAACTTCATCTTAGTAATATTCACATAATAGTCTTGGAATATAACTTACTTGGTAGACCTCCTCTCATATTTTCATGTTCTTGCAGATTTCTGGTGAGTCAAGGGTGCATCAAACCACTCTGCGATCTTCTGGTTTGTCCGGACCCAAGGATTGTAACGGTGTGCCTTGAAGGGCTTGAGAACATTTTGAAGGTGGGTGAGGCTGACAGGGAAATGGGAATGAACAATGGAATTAATCTCTATGCCCAAATGATTGATGAGTGTGAGGGATTAGATAAGATTGAGCAACTGCAGAGCCATGACAACCATGAGATTTATGAGAAAGTCGTGAAGATTTTGGAGAGATACTGGGCTGAGGAAGAAGAGGAGGTACAGAATCTCCCAGATGGAAATCAGCAGCAGGGATTTGCTTTTGCGAACAACCAGCCCAACCTTCCACCTGGTGGCTTCAATTTTGGTTGAAGTATTAGTATAAGGATCTGCTTACTATCTTCATAGGCATTGTTACTCTTGCAGTGATTTTTTTGTTTTTGTTTTTTTGGGAACTTTAGTAAAATTTGTTAGGGGCCAAGGGTCAGGATTTTTGGTCTGGCACATAGGCTTTTGTTTGTCTATGGAAAATATGTTAAAAGCCTTAAGGCTTTAAGCTTGAAGTTTCCAACTTGGTTTGTATTTTCATATTCATAGGAAAATTTGTTCTTTGTGATTGAGTTGATGTGTAATTGATATTTTGCAACATATAATTTTATCTTGCTTTGAACTTATGGATGAATCTTCTTGGAAAGTAATCTCCAATTTACTACTGTAGTTTACTTATAACAAATTATAATGGGAGGTTCCAAAGACTTCGGGGTACAAAGCAGAAGGTAAAGATTTAGCTTAAGCCAATTGAAGCAAAGGGGAAACAGTAACATTTAAGGATCCAACTACGGTAACAGAGATAGTGTTACCGTCCCTTGTAAACCCTTGGATGAATGACAACTGGACTATGATCCAAAGGGTTTGGGGTAACGTTACGTGTTTTCCTTGAGCCAGTGATGTTCCTGTACAACTTTAGGGCATAGCAGTTTTAAGTGGGTATCGTATAATTTGTATCGTGTTTGAAACATTGAAGTAAAGCGAAGCAATGTCTGGTGAAACGAAGAAGGACGAGGAATACGGGGTATTACTCTATTACAACTACAGTACCATTCCTGATCTCAATTCTCTATCCAACTTCTACCAATCCAACTGCAGCTCTCTCAATCTCCTCGGTCGTGTTCGCCTCGCTCCCCACGGTGTCAACGTCACTGTATGCCTTCGAATCCTTTTCTTTCCTTCTCTATTTATCTATTTATTCATCTGGGTCCTCTTCTTTTATTAGGTGGGTGGAAAGTTATCTTCTTTGGAGAGCCATATTGCTGCTGTTAAGGCTTTAACTTTGTTTCAAGGAACAGACTTCAAGCTTGCTACTTCTCATTACCCTTTAGACGATAAGGTTGCTCATGAATGTGGCTTCACTTCTCTTTCTATTAGAATTGTCAAGGTTGGTTTTTTATGGGGTTTGTTTTGTTCTAGCATGTTTGTTTTGCTTTATTGCTGATGGGTTTTGTATGGTTTGGTTTCAGGAATTGGTTACTTTTAGTTCACATCCTTTGTTAAACCCACCGGATGTTTCTAATGCTGGCAGGCATTTGTCTGCGGTTGAGTTTCATTCTCTTCTTCAGTCTGCGGGTAAGTGAAGTATCATTTCCCTATTTGATTAAGTGGGGTGTATTTGCTGATTGATTGATTCTGTTAGTGTTTTGTTTACCAGTGCAAGGGTTGAATGAAGAAAGTCCAACTGAGAGTGAGAAACTTGTTTTGTTGGATGCAAGGAATTTATATGAGACTAGAATTGGGAAGTTCCATACACAAAGTGTCGAAACATTGGACCCTGAAATCAGGCAGTATAGTGATCTGCCCTCCTGGATAGATAACAATGCCGAAAAATTGAGAGGGAAAAATGTTCTCATGTAAGTGCTCTGAAATTTGGTGTTTTTCCTTATTTTGCTGTTCTTGAGTTTTTATGTATCTTTATTCGTGTTTGAGCATCAATAAAGTGGTGCCTTGGGACAGAGTTTGCTTATTTTAGTGGTTAATGGAATGTTGGATTTTAATTATAACTTTTGGACAATTGTACAGGTACTGCACTGGAGGAATCAGGTGTGAGATGGCGTCGGCCTATCTGAGGTCAAAAGGTGTGGGCTTTGAGAATGTTTTTCAGGTGAGTTGCTCATACCTACAAGGAAATCATATCTTTCTCTTCTGTTTGATTCTTAAATCACAGAGAAAGTAGGCTTCATCATATGAGACGAGGAAGTAAGTATCATGCGTATTGATGAGAAAGAAAGAAAACAATGATATATTGCTTTGTTGCAGTTATATGGTGGAATACAGCGTTATTTGGAACAATTTCCAGATGGAGGTTTTTTCAAAGGAAAAAATTTTGTTTTTGACCACAGGTATGATCTCTTGCAGCGCCATGTCATTAAAACATATGTTAGTATTTTATTGACATGTTAATGTAAAAGTGTGGGAGTAACAACTAAACTGGATATTTATTGGGATAAGCACGATACATTGTTTCTCTGTAAATTATATTTGGGTTGTACAACTGCAGTAAGGTTTTGCAAAACCTTTTGACGGTGAAATTTTATTCTAACAGAAAAGGGTCACTGATAGATGTTTTGTAAACATGACATGGGTGTCTTTGCAACCCTTTCATAAAGTAATTTCTATACTTTTTCTATTGTTGCTTGTAGAATTTCTGTTGGGAGCTCGGATGCAGATATTATGGGTAACTGCCTTCTTTGTGGTTCTTCCTTTGATGATTATTCATCACGCTGCCGCTGCACATACTGTAGGATGCTTGTTTTGGTCTGTGATAATTGCCGGGTAGGTGTCAATTGTAATAATTTTTCATTGTATAGTTCAGAGATTGCCCATCATAACATTGAATTATCACCTTAGTTAGCTAGTTTTCTCCTCCTGGAGACACCTTTCACCAATTTTTAAGTCTCTAAATTATTTCTCTTAGTCATAAAAATATGTATGCTGCAATTCTTGTTTTGTGTATTATTTGTGTTCTTGTTTACTAGTTTTGTTGTGGGCCTGCAGAAACAAGGAGACCTGTATGTTTGTGAGCTATGCCAGAAACATGGTAAGACTGTTGGTTCAATACCATTGATAGAAGAGAGCAAAAGCAGAGTAACATCACTGCCAATCGAGCTCAAAAGTGTTTCCACAGGTCCCCTATCCTCACCTCAATTGCCTTGCAGACATGGTAAGGTCTGTATTCTGTATCACTATAAACTTTGCTTTCAGGCTGACCTGGAAACATTATGTAATAATGCTGCTTATTGTTAGTTGGTTATAGTTGCTACATTCAAAAATATTTTTGTTAATCTGATTTTTTAATTATTGTTCATATTTGAGTTTCACCTCATTTTCAACAGTCATCAAGCTGACCAACAACTAAAACAATAGAAAAGAAAATACATTATTATACCATTCAAAAGCTTCAAAATTTGTGTTTAAACATTTTTCTTCTGTTACTTGACGCTTTATCTACAAATTCTTTCTTATAGTACTGAATTCCTGATCCCTTGGTCCTAAAGACCCAAAGATGAATGTTGAGAGTTTATCTCAATCTTTCTTTCTTAATTCCTAATATTATATTTTGTTCTATGCAGCAGTTGGCACTGTGTGTCCAAGAAAACTAAGAATCTTATGCTTGCACGGGTTTCGGCAGAATGCCTCTGGTTTTAAAGGAAGAACTGCATCATTAGCTAAGAAGCTTAAAAGCATTGCCGAACTTGTTTTTGTCGATGCACCCCATGAGTTGTCATTCATTTACCAGCCTTGTGTGACATCTCCATCACAAGATTGTCCTCCTCCAGCACCAGAAAGTTGCAAGAAGAAGTTTGCATGGTTGGTAGCACCTGATTTCCTGGAGGGGCTTGAAATTGACTGGAAAATGGCAGATGGTCCTTTCGATCCTCTCCAATACCAGCAGCAAACTGATGGCTTTAATGTATCATTATCATATTTGAAGAAAGTGTTCTCTCAGGAAGGTCCATTCGATGGGATCTTAGGCTTTTCACAAGGAGCAGCAATGGCTGCTTCAGTTTGTGCACAACGGGAAAGGCTAAAAGGTGAAATAGATTTCAGGTTTGTGATTTTGTGCTCTGGGTTTGCTCTTCAGTCTGCAAAGTTTGAACATGGATCAATCAATTGCCCTTCGCTTCATATATTCGGTAGTGACCTGGGTAAGGACAGACAAATTGCGAACCTAGCCAGCAGAGACCTTGCTTCGACATTTGAAGATGGTTGCTCTGTGATTATTGAACATGATTGTGGTCATATCATACCTACTCGTTCTCCTTATATCGATGAGATTAAGGATTTTCTTCAACGTTTTCTCTGATGAAATTGAAAAATTGGGAGACTCATTTTTGATACTGCAAGATTTTCTGGTCCATGCTTGCACCTCTTGTAGGATTTAGCATTTTACTTGTAGGATTAATACAAAGTTCCATGTTTGGAGTAATCCTGCTTTTGTATTAGTATTTAACATAATGATGGATTTGTATTTGGAGTAACCCCATGTTTTCTGTTCTGGATTGTGTTCTTTTTGGTCCAAGTATTGATAAGCTTATTGGAATCTTGTCAAGAATTATGATACAAGTCTGTCTCATTGTGTGTGGATGGAATCATGGAATAATGAGTTAGATGGTTGTTTCCAATGTTTTTCTTCATGTCCACATATCAGTATAATCAAATTTTCAGTTTGGTGAATTAGATTGGTTGCTAAAACCATCTTATGAATGAAATTATCAATTAAATCATGTAGAAACACTTTGAATATTGATATATGTACAAATTTCTTGTACAAACGAACTCAATAAGTTAAATCATGCTGAAGGTGTCTAATGGAATGTAAAATCCGAACATTGCTTGTGAACTATTGAATTAATCTGACAGAAATTCAGTTAAATCCGTTCGTTAATAGAGAGAGTTGACGAATAAGTTATTAATCAGTCAGGATGATTCAAGTATTCTGTACATGAGACAGAGTAGAGGGCTGTTTAGTAAATTCGTAAACCTTTCTGTGGCCTTAAACCCTGAAGAACTTCACTTTGTACTTGTACTAGTTTCATACGAGGTTTTAGGTTTATGCTCCCAGGAGCAACTTGGTAGAAGAAGGCCAAAACAAAACCAAAGTAAACGTAAACAAAATGCAGATTCTCGTTCGTCAACTACTTCAGAGAATTTCGCGCAAACATGTACGTTATATTATGACACTCTTCATATGTTTACCGTTCTGTCAGATTTTTTTTAAAAAAAAAAAAAATCTCTCTTTTTCTTATTTTTCTACTTTCGAACTTGTTCATGTATTTTTGGGCTGGAATTATCAAGTGGGTACTTCACATAGATTCCAGTGAGTAAACATTGGTCACTTTAATTTCTCTTGATTATTGTGGTTTTGGGTCTAAATTTTGTTGGGTTTCTATTTTCTTTTTGAGAGCATGCATCAAAATCTTATATAGGATTTAATTGCACAAGCTATGTAATCAAATATATATTTTAGTTTTTTGTTTATATTTAGCTTTTTTTACTTCTATTGGTTGTTCAATTTACATGTCATTTGTGATGCTTAAATGTTTGTTATTCAATGTTTGCTAGTGAAGAATGAAATGAACTTGTGGCTTTGCGGTTGCTTGGTATTCGTATTTAAGTTCTGAGTTGGTTCAATCTATTTTTGGTGGTGGTCTAATTTGCATTACCAATTTGAAGCTTTTAATTTTTCTATTGATGGAAAATGTGAATGACTACTACCTAATGCTTATTTGGTCTAGGCTTAATCTTTATTTTGGTTTTTTGTGAGATGGGTTCCAGGTTATCTTTCAGCGCGCATATTCTACAAAGAAGTTTGTTGATATTGGACAACCAACTCCAGCATCTCACCCTCAGGTTCTGCCACTCATTAACTGCGTGTATGTGTTTATACTTTACTGATGCTGTTTGTATCCCTGAATATTTCCACATAACTGGAGTTATTACTGCCTCTGGGGCATAAAATGGCAACATAAGTAAAACTTCTTGAAAGAAGAAAAGTAGTTTTATATTTTTGATATAAAGTATGGTTCTCTGATGGTTATAGTTGAGGAGCTTATTTCCAATCAAAATTGGCCTTGCAGTTAATGAAGGAAGGTGAGATTACACCGGGGATAACAGCTGAGGAATACATCTCTAGGAGAAAAAGATTCTTGGAACTTCTCCCAGAGGGAAGTGTTGCCATCCTTGCAGCTGCACCTGAAAAGATGATGACTGATGTTGTGCCTTACCCATATCGACAAGATGCTGATTACTTGTATATTACCGGCTGTGAGCAACCTGGTGGTGTGGCCGTTTTGAGTCATGAATTTGGTTTATGCATGTTCATGCCAGAAGCATCAGCTCATGTATGTTCCATTTTCATGAGTTTTAACTAGTGACTTCAAATTGCTGTAATTTTCTGTCTATGATGATATATAAATACCTTATTATCTCTTCTTCAAAGAATTTCTTTTTTCTCTTGAAGCTATACCCAAATGTGCCTGTGCAGTTTCTATTATTCATGTTGTTTGATTTAGGTAGCAGAAATTTAGTGAGGGCTAGTTACATCATCAGTACCATAATTTTGGGATAAAGTATTGATATGAGTTGTGCTTAAGTTTTTGCAATTATTATTTTAGGATGTTAACTGGAAGGGGCCAACTGCTGGAGTTCATGCAGCATTAGAAGTGTTCAAGGCTGAGAAAGCATATCCTATGAGAAAAATACAGGAGGTGAGTTGACTATTTTGGTGTATGGAGGCTTGGAAAAAGGCATTGATAAATTTTATAAGTCGAATAGATGCAGTCCTTTTTCAACGTATAAACTAAACCTGTATCCTGCAAATTAGATAAATGAGACTTTTTTACAATAGTATCGATGCACCTGTTGTTGGGTTGGTGGCACATCAACTACATGGAGAAATTGTTAGATCGCGTATGCTGAGATGCATTTGAACAATTATTGCCGGCAATAGTAGCTCAATAACTACTAAAATAAATTGCTTATGCATATTACTATTATCCTGTTTTCTAATCTATGGCTGCAGATTCTTCCAGATACGATATCAAGATCTTCTAAATTATTCCACAATAGGGAGGCGGCCGTTCAAACATAAGCACAATTGGAGGCCTTCCGAGAGGCAGATTACCATGGAAAAGTGACAAACCTTTCCAAACTCACCCATGAATTGCGTTGGATAAAATCACCAGCCGAGCTTAAGTTAATGAGAGAATCTGCATCAATTGCTTGCCAGGTGCTTTAAGTGTGCATGGCTAAGTTCTTTCATTAAGTCATTACATTGGGTTTTGGTGAGGTATCTCCACAGCCACACACGCATATACACAGAGAGAGGTAAAAGAGTTAATGGGATTAAGTGAGCTCTAAGATGTGCAGAATTTTTTTCTAGCAAATGGCAACATTATTGGAGTGCTTTCACTGAATTTGTAATCTATTGTTGGTGCTTTCCTTTTCAGAGGAATATTTGTGGATGTTAATGGGACTATCCTTGTTGATATTGATACTGATACTTAATATGCAATTTTTTCTTGGATAGGCCCTTTTGCAGACAATGTTGCATTCAAAGATACATCCTTATGAGGGCATGTTATCAGCAAAGGTTGAATATGAATGCAAAATGAGAGGTGCCCAGAGAATGGCGTAAGTATTTACCTTTACAAATGGTTGGAAACAAAGATGTGATTTAATGTTTATTTATTTTTCTATTTATGTATTCTATATTTCATGATGTTGGATGGAATGAGAAATAAATGAATCAAAGGGCTGCAAATTTGTTCTTTTTCATGCAAGATTCTTGTAGATGATTTATGGATGTTATTCTTTCTTACCAGATTTAACCCTGTTGTTGGAGGTGGTCCTAATGCTGCTGTTATACATTATTCTCGGAATGATCAGAAAGTAAAAGTTCAATTAACAAAAGCTCGTTCTTAGATTTCATACTCACCAAAAGATTATGAGTAGAACTAACTTTATATCAATACCATGTCTCTAGCTAACTTCAAAACATATTTGCAGATTGAGGATGGAAATCTTGTTTTAATGGATGTTGGATGTGAGTTGCATGGTTATGTCAGTGATCTTACTCGTACCTGGCCTCCCTGTGGTAGATTTTCTCCTGTACAAGTATGCCCTGTTTATGCTTTATCTTATGAGTGACAAAAGCAAAAAGTGTGGTTTTATATGCACCATCTGTTTTAATTGAATTCTGAAAATTGAAATTTCTGTTGCGAAGTCTGTTCCATGCTAATATTGTGTTTAGCCATCTAAAGTTATTGTAATTGAAATGGTTTTCTTTTCCTTCTCGATACATTTCATTCTTCTTTGTTTGCCTCCCTCTATTGGGTTCCTGTTCTTCATTACTTGAATGTAGCATATCTTTTGCTTTTGCTATTTGAGACCTTTAGATACCAGTTGTTGAAAGGATCATTGTCTCTACTACACCAATAATAGGAGTTGTTCCAACTATTGACCACATTGCCATGAGAGGTCTAGTAACAAGCATCTGTAATCTGGGGTGAAAATATGTAGATGCATTTTCCCTGTGTAAATCTATTTGACACTTTAGTATTGCTCATTAAATGCTTGGGTCCTAGCTGTCGTTCTAACAGCATTTGGCTAGTTTTTTTTTTTTTTTTTTTTTTTTTTTTTTTTTTCTTTCCCCCCCCCTTCTTCTTTTTAAAGCTTTTGTTGTCACAATACTATCTTCTTGTCTATGGGCACCAATAAAAAATGCATGAGTCTCACAGTGCTGATGTGTATATTTCAGGAAGAGCTTTATGATATCATACTACAAACAAACAAGGAATGTCTGAATCTTTGCAAGCCTGGTGCTAACCTTCTTGAAATACATAACTATTCAGTATGACCTTGACAACTTAAACTGTATTTTATCTGATTTTTCTTTGCAGTCAGTTGTCTTTTCCATAAGAATGAAAGAAAGGCATTTCATGTTCTGATTTTCTTTTCCTTTTCATGATTTATTGTGACCTCTATACCGTATCAGGAGGAACATGATGGTTCACATTGTTGGGAGGAAGTTACATATGATTAAGATTTTGATATTTTTACTGGAACTCATTGAGAAAAGATAGAATTAAAAGAATGAGTGCAATCTAAATCAACATTTTCAAATTTTGTGAAAGATGCTGAGAAATAATCAAATAATTGTGTCAAATTTGTGTTACCCTGAAGTACAAATTTATTATATATATATATGGCTATTGTCATGAACTATTTTTGTTGGTGTGGGAATCACCAATGTGGGGCATCTGCTTCTCTTGCGGTAGCTTGCAAGTGGCCTTGTTTTCTCCTGATTAAATTTAAGTCTTATAATTTTGTCAATTGTAAGCTGCTTGTTGCCTCAAATAATATTTAGGTGGGGCATCTGCTTCCATTGTGCTAGCTTGCAGCTGACCTTGTTTTCTCCTGATTAAGTCTTATGATTTCTTCAATTGTAAGCTGCTTGATGCCTCAAATAATATTTAGCTGTAAGGTGATCTAATTCTGTAAGTTTTGTGGTTGAATAGGTTAGAATGCTGCGGAAAGGACTTAAGGAAATTGGAGTTTTGTATAGTGATAGAACTGATCACTACAATGAGCTGAACCCAACTTCTATAGGTTTGTCCGAGATTCCCTTGCTATACATTTCAGTTTATCCTTCGCAATACAGGGCATAAAAGATATGACCTTTTGGAAACACTGTTCTGTTCTAACTCCCAAAATATCCAGCACATATTGGTTTCCAAAGTTAAAATTAATAGTTAAAATGATATTAAGTGCCTAATTGATCATATCACTATTTCTTTATTTATTTTGATGTCCAGGTCACTATCTGGGAATGGACGTCCATGATAGTTCCATGGTTAGTTATGATCGTCCTTTGGAGCCTGGAGTTGTAAGTTGTCTCCCTGATTGAATATCTTTTTTATCTTTTTGTACTTCTTTACCATTGGCATTTGTTTGTTTCGTAGCTGAATGTTCACAGCCATTTGCGCCCTCAAATTTTTTATTTTTTATTTTTTTTATGGTTGGCAGTTTATATAATGTTGTTCTAAGCATCAAACTTGAAGTTAGTGAGGCTTATCTTAGCTTTCTTGGTGAACTTAGATTCTAAGATCAACTTTGTTTGCTTCTACTGGACTTTCTCAAGTGATTTCAGTTTGGTATGATTAGTGTTGATTGGTACAGAATAATTGAATTGGAGTCATTAGATGAATTTCCTAATATAAAACTCAATAATTGAATTGGAGCCATTAGATGAATTACCTAATATAAAACTCAATAATTGAATTGGAGTCATTAGATGAATTTCCTAATATAAAACTCAAGACGTAATGATGAAACACCTGATGTGTTGCTCTACAATAGGAGGCGTAGGAAGGGGCAGTAGAGGATTAATGGTAATCGGGCAAAAAGGGGTCTTGAGCGTGTGAGTGTGGAGAATTATATGAGATAGGTGGCAGTATGAGTATGGTTATTTGGAGCAATGTTCTGAAAACCGGATCGGGCCTTGACCCATTCAAGGGTCCGATTGCCGGTTTAACTAGTTTGACTGGTTGGATTGGTCAGTTGGACCGTATCCTGTAAAATTACATGTTAGTCCCTAAATGTTTGAAATTCATCAAAAACACCCATAAATAATTACGCATGAGTCCCTAAAGGTTTGAAATCTATCCAAAACACCCCTGCTATCTGGGCAGTCGCACGAAGAGAATAATGAGTGGTGGTGGCAGCAACGACTGACAGCCAATCGAAGTTTGGAATGATGGGGCTTTTGATGTATAGGTGTCGGCAAATCCTATGGTGGTGTCTGGGAGTTCTAACGGCATCGAAATTTGCTGGAATCAAGAAGGAAGGTTGACGGTGCGTGAACAATAGGTGGACACGGATCGACGGGCAATCAATGTTTGGAATGATGGGGCTTTTGATTTAGAGGTGTCGACGAATCTTATGGTGGTGTCAGGGAGTTGTAATGGCGTTGGAATTTTTCGGAATAAAGAAGGAAGGCTGACGATTGCGTGAACAATAGGTGGACGGCGAGCAACTAAAGGCTGGACGACGGCATAGAAAATGGATGGGTATTGTCGTGGAGATGCCTTCAAGTCTTATGGTGGTGTTATCCCCCTCGAACGGTGCCGAAATCCGGCAGGATTGACTCATGATTGGACCTTGAATCGACACTATTCCGACGGTCCAACCACAGCTCAATCCGGTTTGATTAAGAATACCGGTTTTCAGGGGAAACCAGACTGAAGATGACGTCAATTCCTGGTTCAACCGGCTGGTCCAATTCGGTTTTCAGAACACTGGTTTGAAGAATTCTGTTATGGAGAGAGACTGAATAGGATAAAAGTAGATAGGGAGAATTAGAGGAGATATTCTGAAAAAGTGCAAAGAGCAGATTGGGAGGTTGCTGGCCCTCGAAGTCCAGCAGGCTACGTTTTCCTTTATTGTGTTGGTTTATCTTTGTTTTCTGTTTTGTTCTATTGCTTGAGCTGAGGTGTGATAATTGGTGTAGAATCGTTCAGTTTCAATATAAATCTATAATTTCAGATTATCTTCTGGGTTTCTGTGTGTTAGCAGATAGTGTGTTTCCGGGTTTGTTGTGGTTAACAGTTGCCATTTGGTTGTGTGTTTATGATTTTGGTAAGGGTATCTATCACATACTCACAAGGGAGACATTGACTGAGCAAGTGAGTGGACCAGAAAGATGCGGTTTACCCATCTCGTGTCTTTGGAAGGATGTATTTGCTATTATATAATAATCTTAGTAAATAGACAGAATTAAAAAAATCAAACATATAAATGTACCAAATTACATTTTGAGTGTTGATGACTTGCTAAGCAGCTAACTGTGTCTGCATTGGTGACGTCTGGCCTAGTATGAAAATGAAATCTGCTGCCTGTTATCTATTTGCATCAGCATAGTCACTATTTATTATTTATTTGTTTTTTTATTTATTAGTATTTTATTTTTATTATTTTGTTAAGATTTGATAAAGGTCTGCCATGGACAGGTGATAACGATTGAACCAGGAATCTACATCCCACTTTCGTTTGATGGTCCAGAGAGGTAGTAGTTTTGTCTGTTTGTGTAAATATTGCTGCATACGACTCCTAATTGTTTTTTATGTGATGTAACCCTTGAATCCTGTATTTGTTATCATGCTCTTCTTGCATAGATGCAATTGTTTTTTTAAAATGTTGATGTCGGTCATAAAAGGAAGACATATTGCAGGTTTCGAGGTATTGGCATAAGGATTGAGGATGAGGTTCTTATTACAGAAACAGGCTATGAGGTATAAATTTTGACAAAGTTTGTATTTTCCTTTTGGTATTATGATACACTAGTAGCTGAAGAAACGTGGGGTTCGTTTGATTCATTATTCTGATACTTTTTAGAATAATATTTTAAAAAAAGTTAAAAAAAGTTAAATGGGACGGTTATTACGATGTATAATTTGGAAATTAACAAAAATATCTCTTATGTTTGTTTATTTACTAAATACCTCTATAATAAAATGTTAAAAGTAAAAAAAAAAATCATCAATTCACCCATTAAATACAGACAGTCGACCACCATCATCGGAGGGTGGTCGGAGTCGTCTTATCGGTGCATGATTGGTTGTATCTTGCCAGTCGTGTGTCGATATGACTTTTTCTAGCCAAATCCACGATGTATATGGCCGAAAAAGGTCAGATCTATGGTTAGATCTGGCCATTGACGGCCAATTCCGCATTTGGTCATCAACGACAACCACTGGTCAATGACGACCATATCTTGGCCGTCGTTGACGATTGGCTACGGCCAAAGATCTAGTCGTCAACGGCCAGATCTTTGGCTATAGAACTGACCTTTTTCGGTCAGATTCACTGTGGATCTAGTCGGAAAAGGCTAGATCGGCGCACTATTGGCCAGATTCAGCTGGTAGTACGCCATTATACCAGATTTCGGCCAGCTTCTGATAGTGATGGTCATAATCTGGTAAATGTGGATTGTTGGGGTGTTTTTGTAATTTCTAAAAAAAAATATTTAGAGGTATTTTACAAGAAATCGAATAATATTGTCAGAATAAGTCAATTTTACTATTTAACTTTATTGGAAATATTAATATAGTATTCTCAAGAGTGTAACAAACGGACCCGTGGTTGTTCCAATTCTCATGCATCTTTCTGATATTAGAAATGAATGTTGCTTTATTCATAATTTCTTATGGTAAGGCTTTTACTACAATGCTGAAGATATGGGTAGTGGGTACCCGCAATTACTTCAGTAGTTGTAACATAATTTCAGTTGTTAGTTGTCTATACTCTATATCATCAATGCTATACTTCTAGTCATATTACATACAGTTAAAACAGTTACAAGTGGTGGTGTCAAAACAGGTTCTTACAGGGTCATTGCCAAAGGAAATTAAACATATGGAATCGTTGCTAAATAATTTCAGCCACGGATTTGGAATGGAGAGGGCGCTGTAACGTGAAAGCTGGAAAATTCAGGAAGAGTGAATTATTGGTGAAAGAAATTTACTTATACAAGCATCTATCTTATCAACAGATTGATTGATTTCTTGTGCTTTAAGAATTGTCCTTGATTTTGGGATTAATTTTTAGCCTAATTCTTCTATAAATTCCTTCCAACTAATACTATTACCTTCCCTTGCTTCAATTCAATTCAATGCATTTACTGAAATTGCCAAATAAGTAATGAAGTCCAAACATTGTTCTTAGGTTTGGTATATGCAAAAAGTTTGGCTCCCCTCCAACTATTTATAGTTTACCAACCTGTACAACATATTTACTTTGTCTACCATCCAAGATCATAACACCAAACTGAATTGAATCAAAAGAGTGGACAATTTATGAAAAACTTTTACTCTTTTAAGTCTTGTTTAGAGATGTATTAATGAGCATGGTCAAGTCATTATCAATCCAACCGCATGGTGACAAGGACAAGGGTGAGGTTGAGGGTGAAGCTAATGGGCTTCAGTGGTGTTTAAGATTTCCAAGGATTGATCACCATATTAAGTCATCCTAATGAATAGTATCCCATTTTCAACTGCATTACAAGTGTTGCTCTCTTATTGGTTACGATTTCCAACCCACCGCTTTCCCTTTAATTCTGCCATAAATTTTCCAACTGTGTCATAAATACAGGCAGCCTATACAAGTTGAAGTAGCCCATCTCATTTGTCAAATCAATCTACGGTTGAGTGTTGAGGGTTGAGTGTTGAGGGTTGACCATTTACACAAAGATATAAATATTATGTGTCTGTTCACATTTAATTATCAAACACATGCAGGATCTAGATTGTCCTTAGATCAATTATTAATTTACCCAACTATGTTTGTTCACTTACCTGTCCTGCCATTTCTTAAAGTTTTGTGAAAACACAAGGGCAAATTTATAGTCTCACTAGTATATATATCTATCAAATATCACAGCGGTGTTTCACTACTCATTTGTTCTCACACCAACAAAATCAGAATTGAAATTGTGAAGTTGAAGGAAAGAAACCATGTCTCTAGTCACAGAAGAAATCAGAGCCAAGGCAGAGATGTACCGTGGAGATGAGATATGTAAAGAGAAATCACAGGAGTTGCTGAGGGAGGTAGGTTTGCCAAATGGGTTGCTGCCATTGCATGACATAGAAGAATGTGGGTATCTGAGAGAGACAGGTTTTGTGTGGCTGAAACAGAAGAAAAGCATAACCCACAAGTTTGAAAAGATTGGGAAGCTTGTGAGTTATGCAACTGAGGTCACAGCTGTTGTTGAACCCAACAAGATCAAGAAACTCACTGGGGTGAAGACCAAAGAGCTCTTGCTTTGGCTAACACTGAGTGATATATACATTGATGATCCATCAAGTGCGAAGATCACTTTCCAGACTCCTGCTGGACTCAACAGGTCTTTCCCTGTTTCTGCTTTTCAGGTTGAAGAGAAAGAGAAGAAGGATGTGAAGGATAAAGAGAAGAAGGAAGTGAATGGAGTTGTGCCAGTGTAAGGATGTGAAATAAGCTTCATTTCATTCCCTGTAGTGTTTCTTCATGTGCACTTTTTATGTATTGTCCTGTCCTCTTCCTAGTGTTACTCATTAAATAAGAAATAGATGATAATATAATTTTATAAGGTGTTTCCTCTTTGTGTTTCAAAGTCCATTGATCCCTTCTTCTTTTTTTTTTTAATAGCATTTTATATATATATTAGCAGATCTCAACATGAGACTAGTTCAAAGATCTACCTATGTCTTATCTTTTACAAGGATGGGTAAAAGAGAAGTTTCCCAGATTGATAAAACATCAATTATCATTGATCAAGGAAAGTTGTTTATTATTTACCCTGCCATGTAAAATCTGACTATGAGCAGTACTAAACCAATATTTTATCCATAAAAAAGCTGTTTTATTGACATCGACATAATTGCCACAAAGCAATTTAAAGAAGCAACAGAGATCATTCTCATTTGCAGAAGGTAAAACTTAAACAGTCAATTCATATTACAGATGCTATGAACTTCTAGACACCAGCAGGATTTACATTATCAACTATAATGAATTAAAGGGGTGCTTCAAAAGAAAATTGAGGTTTAATGCCTAAAATTTAGATGTTAAGGCAACCACCAATGTGCAACTTGTGAGGCAGCAGTGCCGGGGACATTTAACTTCTACTATCACCATAACCAAGGCCTAGAGATTGAATGTTATTCTCTCTCTCTCTTCAGCAATCACACTTCAAACCCTGAAAAAAACTCACAAATAGTCAAACCATTAGTGAAAAAAGTTTGATGACAATTAAAATTAGCAGAAGAAGACTTTGTGTGCAAATCATTAGCACCAATGTGAAGGGTAAGGAAAATTAATAAACTTGAGATCTCTACGATGAAGTCAATCAAATCACAGAATGTAACATCCACGCTTTTATTTGAAATTATTAGCATGGTCAACAACAACAAACTTTTTCCCCCCAAATTTGATATCTCACCTGAAATTTATCTCAATTAGCATACTATTCTATCCCGAGTTACTAGAAGGTTGACACAAAAGAGAATGAAGTAACCTTGTTGGTAGACCAGGTTTTTTATTGTATTTATACCAAAAAGATCTGTATGCAGCATCAAAGTATAAAACGATGATCAAGCAAAAAAAGAAAGAACAATATAGAATTAATACCCCGGCAAGTTACAATCCATTTGCCATCAATCCAATCCTGATGTAGCCTTAATTCAGAGTGCTCGAACTGCATTTCCTCAAGGGTGTTCTTAAAGTAGACTATGTACTTTGAGTTGGTAAGAACCTTGGAAATCACACCCACCCACCAACCATCATTATACAAAGCATCAACCTCATCAAGCCTATTGAAGCTATCGACCACCACAGTATCTGGCGGAGAAGGTCGTATGTGCAGAATATCAACCTCTTCCCTCAAAAACTCTGTATCATCTTCCGTTCTCAAGCTCTGGTACTCAATAAGATACTTGTCCTTCCCAACTGGTTCAACAACAGTTGCAGCAAACCAAGCACCATCAAAACCATCTTCATCACTGCTAACCTCAACTAATGCCCCCTTGTCAAATTTCACTTCAGTCACAGTTTTGTCATGCTTGTCCTCTGTTTTGCTTTCCGTTGACACCTTCTGCAGTTCAAAATTTAAAAAGCTGAGCCCATAAATGACTAAAGACACCCAAAACTGTCAACATACTGACAGGGAGAAAACAAGAATATACATACAAGAGAATGATTAAAAAACATGTAATTGAAAAGACTGGCTAGGCTTTGCATTTAAATCCTCCTTGATCAAAGGGGTTGTTAGATATCTAGTTTATTTATGGTTTTTGTAGCGAGGGAAACTCTTTTGTCCAAATTCACTAGTTAGTCACATACCAAATTCAAACATACATGGAGAAAGTTTTTGCTCCTTCAAGGGCTATTATCCAATGGCCATTGCCAACAGCAATGAAAATCACATCAAGCTTCATAGTGTTTAAGACATTATCTATAATTGATCAATCATTCTCAAGAAACCAGAATATATCACTATCACAAATGCTGGATGACATGGTATTGATACATACAAAAGCAACGACAGAAAACTACAAGACAAATCATCATGGCACATTTATCTTTAAATTATTTCAACATTTAGTTTATTTATGTTATAAATTCACATCATATCCACATTCTCAGTTCCTTAACCAAGATTATCAATCAGCAAAAGGCAAAGCCAACATGACACATAAGTATCTCTAAGATGGGAAAGAATCAAGTTTCATGAATTGCCCTTAAATTTGGCTAAACAAGGAGATTCCACTGAATCCAAAATTCATTAGTTGGCTCCTTTGAAGTAATGAAAAACATCAAAAACATCACCTGAATTTTCATAAAATGCATTAGATTCCTTTTCTACAAGTTAGGTCGCTGACAAAAAAAAGATAACAATAAGAACTATCTATAGTTTAGCCAAAACTTAAAAAAGTCAATAAAAATATCAAAAAAGTAAAAAAGCAAAAAACAATAGAAGTTCATTAGAGATGACCTAAAACATAATTACCTGAAACTAAGAATGAGAAACCAAGCAAAAGAACTGAAAGCAAACAAACAAGGAACAGATATGATTCAAGTAAAACCTAGCTACACAGCACACAGAAAAGTCAGGTGTGAGAAAGGAGGAGAGAAATTTATAGTAAAGATGTACTCCTACTCCTACTCCATTAACTGGAATGCCTTTAGAAATCTCCTTTGACAAATTCAATCTATCAATCAAATGCAGAAAAGTTGATCTTATTCTAAAAGAGTAGATCAGAAAAATTGTGCTTTTTTTTTTCTTCCGTAGAACTACCACTTCTTTGGTAGGAATATTAACACTTAGGACTCATTACCAATTACACATTTTAAGTTTCTAACTGTAAATCCACAATGCAGATAGCATAAGAAATTTCATCAAAATCAAAGACCAACAACATATAATGAACCATCTAAAACCAATTAATAAAGATGATTTATTTTCTTTTCTCCCTTACGAAGTCATATAAAGAAACTTTAGAGGATTCAACACATCACACTAGCCACATTGTATGCCATCGTTAGGTTCAACCTCCTAATTGATTTCACATAATAATAAACCTTGAGCAATGAAGGCTTTAATCTTATCTATGCAACTTGCCCAAAACCCTTATTGTGTATAATACAAGCGCAAACCCACTGAACTTGCATTCTCATTAACTTATGTAAAGCCAGGTTATTTCAGTAAACAGGCAAGCTGCATAAAATCCCACCAGCTATGTAATAAATCTGCATGCAGTGGCTTTTTCCATTGCCCCATATGATCTTATCATCTGCTCTCCAAGAAAATACCAATTTACATTCCCAAACACAACAATCCAATATAGTCAGACATATAACACGGTATGAAAGAATAAAACACAAGAGTTAAAAAACAATTAAAGCAAAAGAAGCTAACTCCATTCTCTTCTTCTTCTTCTTCTTCCTTCAAGGGTGGTTTCCACTTATCGCCACCAAGCCATTCTCTATGCAGCCTCAAGTCCTCCTTGGTAAACTCAAACTGCTCCTTGGAACTCCTAAAATACACTTTAAATTTATCACCATTAACCTCAGTTATAGCTCCTTCCCACCACCCGTCATTATAAAACGCATCCACTTCCTCACTAAACTTAAACTCTCTCTTCTTCTCTCTTGGAGCCACGGGCCGAAGCTGCCCCAAGTCGATAATTTCCCTCAAGGGTTTGGTTCCTGACTCGTCTGAGAACAAATGGATGTATTGGATCAAGTATTTGAAGGGATCCTTTTTTGATGCACGACGAATGACTGTGCCAGTGAACCATGACCCACGAAAGCCGACGTCGTTTGAGGAGACCTCGACCAATGTGCCTGGCTTAAAGATTGAAGATGAGGAATCCCTGGTGGTGGGTTTGGGTTTTGGAGCCATTTCTGGTTAGGGCTAGGGTTTAGTTTTGGCGGGAGAGAGGAAACGGAAGGGTTGCTTACGGTGGAAGACAAATAAGAAGAAAATATTACTGATACCCTCTTGTATAACACTATTAAATTGAGGATCTTTTTATTATTTTGGGGAATGTAAACGTCATTGGCTGTTGTAATACTTCCTTAGTTCCTTTCCCATCCAGAGGGCAGAGCTTTCGTTTGTAACTTACTTGGCTATTGGCTTTGAATCAGAATATGTTAAAGTTAGGGATGACATTTTCCCCGCCCCGCACAGGACGAAGATTCCCCAAATCAATCGGGGAACGGGACGGGCCTAAGCCCAATGGCATTCCTTAAACTCGAGGACGGAGATGGTCACGTCCTCGACCCGAATATATATATATATATATTGTATATAATTAGTAAAATTATTTTTTTCTATTTTAATTCAAAAGGTATTTTTATTTTTAAAATGAGAAGAGTCTATAAATTAATAAGGAAGATTTAGAAATAAGTTGAATATAGATATTGAAATCCATCAATAAAAATCTTTCATTATGAATTAAAATAAGGAAATAATCTCGTAATCATGGAATTAGAATCAATTATCAAAGTATTTTTAAATATTAGGATGGCGAATTAAAACATATTATTTCCTGACATAAATTATATAAGTCATAAGTTAAGATATATAAGCGAAAAGTTAAAACATATTTTTAATTGTTATATACTTACATCAATTATTATATTCTAAACATGTTCTCTATTTTTATATATAATATATATTAACAATATGAAAATGTACAAATTTAGACAAGTTATAGACCAAACAAATGTGTATATATATTTCATAATAACATATATATGATTACCTAATATATACGTAAATGTTAATATATATTATATATATTCTTGCAAATAAAAAATTTAGGTCCAAAAAAAAAAAAAAAAAAAATATAGAGTAAAAGGAAAATCATAATCATACAAATATTTTCATAGTTAATAAAGAGTAAAAATTCATTGCAATATTTTTAAAAGAAAGAGTTACCAAAAAAATAAAATAATAAATCAACTATGAAATGATAAAGAAAAAAAAAAAATAAGCAGGTAAGTGCCAGACTTGCAAGTAGTTAGGAATTATCCACATGCCCAAGTCCTGTGCAATTTGAGGATATTTCTCGTGCAGATAACCAATGGGATGCAAAGAAAGATTTGCACGACACTTACCTACTTGTAGAGTTATAATCATTACTTTAAACTCCCCCACTATAAATAGAGGACATCCCTCTCATTTACAGGATTGGCTGATCTTAGTCTAAAATAGTTTATACTCTCTCTCTCTCTGTATTGTCTCTAGATTGTAACTCAACTCGTCTCACACGACCCGATTTTACCCATCTATTAATACAATAGCAGTGGATGTAGGATTTGCTTTTGAGCATCCGAACCACTTTAAATATCGCATCTCATTCATTGTTTCATTTCATGTTTTCTTATCACGTGTAATTTCTACGTCCGCTTAGAACTTTGCACGTGTGAGTCGTTGGTGTCAAAATCAAGTATCAACAAAAATTAACTCTGGATGTTGCTTATTATAAATTCTAGCGAAAGTTAGTTAAAGTAGAGAACGTTTATACAGAAATTGTAGATTATTTAAAAATTTTATTTTTGTTAGGACTTAGATCAATCTTAACGAAAATATGAAATTAACTAATTTAATTAAATGTATACGTATAAAAAGTTATTTCGGATTATGAAGTGAATCTTCTCATCCCTAGAATATACAAGATTTCATTCGTTATTGATTTTCAAGGTGATATGAAAAGAAAAGAATGCGATAAAAATTTGACTTTACAAAGTAGTAATGCATGACTGGAATAACACATACGTAAATACACCTTGAAAATATAATACCAAATCTAGGGCCTCTGACAGCAACAAAAATTGCAAGAAGTTGCTTGCTTTATTTGTTTCTTTCAACAGCCACCACCACCTCCTCCTCCTCCTCCACATCCTCCTCCTCCTCCTCCACATGCTCCTCCTCCTGCTGCTCCTCCTCCTCCACCTCCACTACGACGTTTCCTCGAGGTGCTGTCACCACAAGCGAATATGACCATCGATATCATTGAGACTGATGCAACCACCGCGCAAAGCAGAAAAAGTCCCCCAAAATTGCTTCCTGCAGGGCCACTACCATCAATAACGAACAACTCTCTGGCCATTTTAATTTGATGTTTCTTTCTCTTCTACTACTTAGCTTGGCCGTCGTTGACGATTGGCTACGGTCAAAGATCGGTCGTCAACGGCAGATCTTTGGCTACTAACTGGCCTTTTCAACCAGATCACTGTGGATCTGGTCGAAAAGGCTAGATCGGTACTCGCATAGGCCAGATTCGCTGGTAGTGCGCCATTATACCAGATTTCCAGCTTCTGATAGTGATGGTCAAATCTGGTAAATGTGGATTGTTGGGTGTTTTTGTAATTTCTAAAAAAAATATTTAGGGTGTATTTTACAAGAATTGAATAATATTGTCAGAATAAGTCATTTTACTATTTAATTTTATTGGAATATTAATATAGTATTCTCGAGATGTAACAAACGGACCCGTGGTTGTTCCAATTCTCATGCATCTTTCTGATATTAGAAATGATGTTGCTTTATTCATAATTTCTTATGGTAAGGCTTTTACTCCAATGCTGAAGATATGGGTAGTTGTACCCGCATTACTTCAAGTATGACTAACTTCATTTGTAGTTTTCTATACTCTATATCATCAATGCTATACTTCTAGTCATATTACATACAGTTAAACAGTTACAAGTGGTGGTGTCAACAGGTTCTTACAGGGTCATTGCCAAGAAATTAAACATCTGAATCGTTGCTAAATAATTTCAGCCAAGGATTTGGAATGAGAGGGCGCTGTAACGTGAAACTGGAAAATTCAGGAAGAGTGAATTATGGTGAAAGAAATTTACTTATACAAGCATCTATCTTATCAACAGATTGGTTGATTTCTTGTGCTTTAAGAATTGTCCTTGATTTTGGGATTATTTTAGCCTAATTCTTCTATAAATTCCTTCCAACTAATACTATTACCTTCCCTTGCTTCAATTCAATTCAATGCATTTACTGAAATTGCCATAAGTAATGAGTCCAAACATTGTTCTTAGGTTTGGTATATGCAAAAAGTTTGGCTCCCCTCCAACTATTTATAGTTTACCAACCTGTACAACATATTTACTTTGTCTACCATCCAAGATCATAACACAAACTGATTGAATCAAAAGAGTGGACAATTTATGAAAAACTTTTACTCTTTAAGTCTTGTTTAGATGTATTAATGAGCATGGCCAAGTCATTATCAATCCCAGCATGGTGACAGACAAGGTGAGGTGAGGCTTGAGTGGTGAAGCTAATGGCCTCAGTGGGGTTTAAGATTTCCAAGATTGATCACCATATTAAGTCATCCGAATGAATTGGATCCCATTTTCAACTACATTACATGGTGCTCTCTTATTGTTTACCACTTCCAACCCACCTATATCCCTTAATTCTGCCATAAATTTTCCAACTGTGTCATAAATCAGGCAGCCTATACATTGAAGTAGCCCATCTCATTTGTCAAATCAATCTACGGTTGAGTTGTTGAGGGTTGACCATTTACACAAAGATATAATATATTTGTTGTTCACATTAATTATCAACACATGCGGATCTAGATTGTCCTTAGATCAATTATTAATTTACCCAACTATGTTGTTCACTTACCTGTCCTGCCATTTCTCAAAGTTTTGTGAAAACACAGGGCAAATTTATAGTCTCACTAGTATAATATCTATCAAATATCACAGCGGTGTTTCACTACTCATTTGTTCTCATAACCACAAAATCAGAATTGAAATTGTGAAGTTGAGGAAAAACCATGTCTCTAGTCACAGAAGAATCAAGTCCAAGGCAGAGATGTCCGTGGAGATGAGATATGTAAAGAGAAATCACAGGAGTTGCTGAGGGAGGTAGGTTTGCCAAATGGTTTGCTGCCATTGCATGACATAGAAGAATGTGGGTATCTGAGAGAGACAGGTTTTGTGTGGCTGAAACAGAAGAAAAGCATAACCCACAAGTTTGAAAAGATTGGGAAGCTTGTGAGTTATGCAACTGAGGTCACAGCTTTGTGTTGAACCCAACAAGATCAAGAAACTCACTGGGGTGAAGACCAAAGAGCTCTTGCTTTGGCTAACACTGAGTGATATATCCATTAATGATCCATCAAGTGCGAAGATCACTTTCCAGACTCCTGCTGGACTCAACAGGTCTTTCCTGTTTCTGCTTTTCAGGTTGAAGAGAAAGAGAAAAGGATGTGAAGGATAAAGAGAAAAGGAGTGAATGGTTGTGCATGTGAAGGATGTGAAATAAGCTTCATTTCATTCCCTGTAGTGTTTCTTCATGTGCACTTTTTATGTATTGTCCTGTCCTCTTCCTAGTGTTACTCATTAATAAGAAATAGATGATAATATAATTTATAAGGTGTTTCCTCTTTCTGTTCAACAAAGTCCATTGATCCCTTTTTTTTTTTTTTTTTCAGTAGCATCTATATATATTTACAGATCTCAACATGAGACTATTCAAAGTCTTATGTCTTATCTGTTACAAGGATGGGTAAAAGAGAAGTTTCCCAGATTGATAAAACATCAATTATCTGATCAAGGAAAGTTGTTTATTATTTACCCTGCCATGTAAATCTGACTATGAGCAGTACTAAACCAATATTTTTCCATAAAAAAGCTGTTTTATTGACATTGACTAATTGCCACAAAGCAATTTAAAAGCAACAGAGATCATCTCATTTGCAGAAGGTAAAACTTAAACAGTCAATTCATATTACAGATGCTATGAACTTCTAGACACCAGCAGTTACATTATCAACTATAATGATTAAGGGGGTGCTTCAAAAGAAATTGAGGTTTAATGCCTAAAATTTAGATGTTAAGGCAACCACCAATGTGCAACTTGTGAGGCAGCAGTGCCGGGACATTTAACTTACCTATCACCAAACAAGGCCTAGAGATTGAATTTTATTCTCTCTCTCTCTTCAGCAATCACACTTCAAACCCTGAAAAAAACTCACAAATAGTCAAACCATTAGTGAAAAAAGTTTGATGACAATTAAATTACAGACAGAAAAACTTTGTGTGCAAATCATTAGCACCAATGTGAAGGTAAGGAATTAATAACTTGAGATCTCTACGATGAAGTCAATCAAATCACAGAATGTCACATCCACGCTTTTATTTGAAATTATTAGCATGGTCAACAACACAACTTTTTCCCCCCAAATTTGATATCTCACTAAATTTATCTCAATTAGCATACTATTCTATCCCGATTTACTAGAAGTTGACACAAGAGAGAATGAAGTAAGCTTGTTAGTAGACCAGGTTTTTTTATTGCTTTATACCAAAAAAATCTGTATGCCATCAAAGTATAAAATGAGATCAAGCAAAAAAAGAAGACACATATAGAATTAATACCCCGGCAAGTTACAATCCATTTGCCATCAATCCACTCCTGATGTAGCCTTATTCAGAGTGCTCGAACTGCATTTCCTCAAGGGTGTTCTTAAAGTAGACTATGTACTTTGAGTTGGTAAGAACCTTGGAAATCACACCCACCCACCAACCATCATTATACAAAGCATCAACCTCATCAAGCCTATTGAAGCTATCGACCACCACAGATCTGGCGGAGAAGGTCGTATGTGCAGAATATCCACCTCTTCCCTCAAAAACTCTGTATCATCTTCCGTTCTCAAGCTCTGGTACTCAATAAGTACTTGTCCTTCCCAACTGGTTCAATAACAGTTGCAGCAAACCAAGCACCATCAAAACCATCTTCATCACTGCTAACCTCACAATGCCCCCTTGTCAAATTTCACTTCAGTCACAGCTTTGTCATGCTCGTCCTCTGTTTTGCTTTCCGTTGACACCTTCTGCAGTTCAAAATTTAAAAGCTGAGCCCATAAATGACTAAAGACACCCAAAACTGTCAACATACTGACAGGAGAAAACAAGATATACATACAGGAGAATGATTAAAAAACATGTAATTGAAAAGACTGGCTAGGCTTTGCATTTAAATCCTCCTTGATCAAAGGGGTTGTTAGATATCTAGTTTATTTTGTGTTTTGTAGCGAGGAAACTCTTTTGTCCAATTCACTAGTTAGTCACATACCAAATTCAAACATACGGGAAAGTTTTTGCTCCTTCAAGGGCTATTATCCAATGGCCATTGCCAACACCTGAAAATCACATCAAGCTTCATAGTGTTTAAGACATTACTATAATTGATCAATCATTCTCAAGAAACCGAATATATCACTATCACAAATGCTGGATGACATGGTATTGATACATACAACAGCAACGACAGAAAACTACAAGACAAATCATCAGTGGCACATTTATCTTAAATTATTTCAACATTTAGTTTTATTTGTTATAAATTCACATCAAATCCACATTCTCAGTTCCTAACCAATATTATCAATCACAAAAGGCAAAGCCAACATGCCACATAAGTTATCTCTAAGATGGAAAGAATCAATTTCATGAATTGCCCTTAAATTTGGCTAAACAAGGAGATTCCACTGAATCCAAATTCATTAGTTGGCTCCTTTGAAGTATGAAAACATCAAAACATCACCTGAATTTTCATAAAATGCATTAGATTCCTTTTCTACAAGTTAGGTCTGACAAAAAAAGATAATAAGAACTATCTATAGTTTAGCCAAAACTTAGAAAAGTCGATAAAATACAAAAAGTAAAAAAGCAAAAAACATAGAAGTTCATTAGAGATGACCTAAACATAATTACCTGAACCTAAGAAGGAAAACCAAGCAAAGAACTGAAAGCAAACACCAAGGAACAGATATGATTCAAGTAAAACCTTGCTCACAGCACCCAGAAAAGTCAGGTGTGAGAAAGTTATAGTAAAGATGTACTCCTACTCCTACTCATTAACGGAATGCCTTTAGAAATCTCCTTTGACAAATTCAATCTATCAATCAATGGCAGAAAATTTGATCTTATTCTAAAGAAGTAGATCAGAAAAATTGTGCTTTTTTTTCTTCCGTAGAGCTACCACTTCTTTGGTAAGAATATTAACACTTAGGACTCCTTACTAATTACACATTTTAAGTTTCTAACTGTAAATCCACAATGCAGATAGCATAAGAAATTTCATCAAAATCAAAGACCAACAACATATAAGTACCATCTAAAACCAATTAATAAAGATGATTTATTTTCTTTCTCCCTTACGAAGTCATATAAAGAAACTTAGAGGATTCAACACATCACACTAGCCACATTGTATGCCATCGTTAGGTTCAACCTCCTAATTGATTTCACATAATAAAAACCTTGAGCAATGAAGGCTTTAATCTTATCTATGCAACTTGCCCAAAACCCTTATTGTGTAATACAACGCAAACCACACTGAACTTGCATTCTCATTAACTTATGTAAGCCGGTATTTTCATTAAACGGCAAGCTGCATAAAATCCCACCAGCTATGTAATAATCTGCATGCAGTGGCTTTTTCCATTGCCCCATATGATCTTATCACTTGCTCTCAAGAAAATACCATTTACATTCCCAACAACACCAATCCAATATAGTCAGACATATAACACGGTATGAAAGAATAAAACACAAGAGTTAAAAAACATTAAGCAAAAGAAGCTAACTCCATTCTCTTCTCTTCTTCTTCTTCCTTCAAGTGGTTTCCCACTTATCGCCACCAAGCCATTCTCTATGCAGCCTCAATCCTCCTTGTAACTCAAACTGCTCCTTGGAACTCCTAAAATCACACTTTAAATTTATCACCATTAACCTCAGTTATAGCTCCTTCCCACCAGCCATCATTTAAAACGCATCCACTTCTCCACTAAACTTAAACTCTCTCTCTTCTCTCTCAGTCATTAGATGAATTTCCTAATATAAAACTCAAGACGTAATGATGAAACACCTGATGTGTTGCTCTACAATAGGAGGCGTAGGAAGGGGCAGTAGAGGATTAATGGTAATCAGGCAAAAAGGGGTCTTGAGCGTGTGAGTGTGAAGGAGAATTATATGAGATAGGTGGCAGTATGAGTATGGTTATTTGGAGCAATGTTCTGAAAACCGGACCGGGCCTTGACTCATTCAAGGGTCCGGTTGCCGGTTTAACTGGTTTGACTAGTTGGATCGGTCAGTTGGACCTATCCTGTAAAATTACAGTTTAGTCCCTAAATGTTTGAAATTCATCAAAAACACCCATAAATAATTACGCATGAGTCCCTAAAGGTTCAAAATCTATCCAAAACACCCCTGCTATCTGGGTAGTCGCACGAAGAGAATGGTGAGTGGTGGTGGCAGCAACGATTGACAGCCAATCGAAGTTTAGAATGATGGGGCTTTTGATGTATAGGTGTCGACAAATCTTATGGTGGTGTCTGGGAGTTCTAACGGCACCGAAATTTGCCGGAATCAAGAAGGAAGGTTGACGGTGCGTGAACAATAGGTGGACGGCGATCGACAGGCAATCAATATTTGGAATGATGGGGCTTTTGATTTAGAGGTGTCGATGAATCTTATGGTGGTGTCAGGGAGTTGTAATGGCGTTGGAATTTTTTCGAATAAAGAAGGAAGGCTGACGATTGCATGAACAATAGGTGGACGGCGAGCAACTAAAGGCTGGACGACGGCATAGAAAATGGATGGGTTTTGTCGTGGATATGCCGTCAATTCTTATGGTGGTGTTATCTCCCTCGAACGGTGCCGAAATCCGGTGGGATTGACTCGTGATTGGACCTCGAATCGACACTATTCCGACGGTCCAACCACGGCTCAATCCGGTTTGATTAAGATTACCGGTTTTCAAGGGAAACCAGACTGAAGATGACACCGGTTCCTGGTTCAACCGGCTGGTCCGATCCGGTTTTCAGAACACTGGTCTGGAGAATTCTGTTATGGAGAGAGACTGACTAGGATAAAAGTAGATAGGGAGAATTAGAGGAGATATTCTGAAAAAGTGAAAAGAGCAGATTGGGAGGTTGCTAGCCCTCGAAGTCTAGCAGGCTACGTTTTCCTTTATTGTGTTGGTTTATCTTTGTTTTCTGTTCTGTTCTATTGCTTGAGCTGAGGTTGTGATAATTGGTGTAGAATCGTTCAGTTTCAATATAAACCTATAATTTCAGATTATCTTCTGGGTTTCTGTGTGTTAGCAGATTGTGTGTTTCCGGGTTTGTTGTGGTTAACAGTTGCTATTTGGTTGTGTGTTTATGATTTTGGTAAGGGTATCTATCACATACTCACAAGGGAGACATTGACTGAGCAAGTGAGTGGACCAGAAAGATGCGGTTTACCCATCTCGTGTCTTTGGAAGGATGTATTTGCGATTATATAATAATCTTAGTAAATAGACAGAATTAAAAAAATCAAACATATAAATGTACCAAATTACATTTTGAGTGTTGATGACTTGCTAAGCAGCTAACTGTGTCTGCATTGGTGACGTCTGGCCTAGTATGAAAATGAGATCTGCTGCCTGTTATCTATTTGCATCAGCATAGTCACTATTTATTATTTATTTGTTTTTTTATTTATTAGTATTTTATTTTTATTATTTTGTTAAGATTTGATAAAGGTCTGCCATGGACAGGTGATAACGATTGAACCAGGAATCTACATCCCACTTTCGTTTGATGGTCCAGAGAGGTAGTAGTTTTGTCTGTTTGTGTAAATATTGCTGCATACGACTCCTAATTGTTTTTTATGTGATGTAACCCTTGAATCCTGTATTTGTTATCATGCTCTTCTTGCATACATGCAATTGTTTTTGTAAAATGTTGATGTCGGTCATAAAAGGAAGACATATTGCAGGTTTCGAGGTATTGGCATAAGGATTGAGGATGAGGTTCTCATTACAGAAACAGGCTATGAGGTATAAATTTTGACCAAGTTTGTATTTTCCTTTTGGTATTATGATACACCAGTAGCTGAAGAAACGTGGGGTTCGTTTGATTCATTATTCTGATACTTTTTAGAATAATATTTTGAAAAAAGTTAAAAAAAGTTAAATAGGACGGTTATTACGATGTATGATTTGGAAATTAACAAAAATATCTCTTATGTTTGTTTATATACTAAACACTTCTATAATAAAATATTAAAAGTTAACGAAAACATCCTCAATTCACCCATTAAATACGGACAGTCGACCACCATCGTCGGAGGGTGGTCGGAGTCGTCTTATCGGCGCATGATTGGTTGTATCTTGTCAATCATGTGTCGATATGATTTTTTCTAGCCAAATTTACAATGGATCTGGCTGGAAAAGGCCAGATCTATGGTTAGATCTGGCCATTGACGGCCAAATCCGCATTTGGTCGTCAACGACAGCCACTGGTCAATGACGACCATATCTTGGCCGTCGTTGACGATTGGCTACGGTCAAAGATCTGGTCGTCAACGGCTAGATCTTTGGCTACATAACTGGCCTTTTTCAACCAGATCCACTGTGGATCTGGTCGAAAAAGGCTAGATCGGCGTACTACCGGCCAGATTCAGCTGGTAGTGCGCCATTATACCAGATTTCAGCCAGCTTCTGATAGTGATGGTCAGAATCTGGTAAATGTGGATTGTTGGGGTGTTTTTGTAATTTCTAAAAAAAAATATTTAGGGGTATTTTACAAGAAATTGAATAATATTGTCAGAATAAGTCAATTTTACTATTTAATTTTATTGGAAATATTAATATAGTATTCTCGAGAGTGTAACAAACGGACCCGTGGTTGTTCCAATTCTCATGCATCTTTCTGATATTAGAAATGAATGTTGCTTTATTCATAATTTCTTATGGTAAGGCTTTTACTCCAATGCTGAAGATATGGGTAGTTGGTACCCGCAATTACTTCAGTAGTTGTAACATACTTTCAGTTGTTAGTTGTCTATACTCTATATCATCAATGCTATACTTCTAGTCATATTACATACAGTTAAACAGTTACAAGTGGTGGTGTCAAAACAGGTTCTTACAGGGTCATTGCCAAAGGAAATTAAACATCTGGAATCGTTGCTAAATAATTTCAGCCAAGGATTTGGAATGGAGAGGGCGCTGTAACGTGAAAGCTGGAAAATTCAGGAAGAGTGAATTATTGGTGAAAGAAATTTACTTATACAAGCATCTATCTTATCAACAGATTGGTTGATTTCTTGTGCTTTAAGAATTGTCCTTGATTTTGGGATTAATTTTTAGCCTAATTCTTCTATAAATTCCTTCCAACTAATACTATTACCTTCCCTTGCTTCAATTCAATTCAATGCATTTACTGAAATTGCCAAATAAGTAATGAAGTCCAAACATTGTTCTTAGGTTTGGTATATGCAAAAAGTTTGGCTCCCCTCCAACTATTTATAGTTTACCAACCTGTACAACATATTTACTTTGTCTACCATCCAAGATCATAACACCAAACTGAATTGAATCAAAAGAGTGGACAATTTATGAAAAACTTTTACTCTTTTAAGTCTTGTTTAGAGATGTATTAATGAGCATGGTCAAGTCATTATCAATCCAACCGCATGGTGACAAGGACAAGGGTGAGGTTGAGGGTGAAGCTAATGGGCTTCAGTGGTGTTTAAGATTTCCAAGGATTGATCACCATATTAAGTCATCCTAATGAATAGTATCCCATTTTCAACTGCATTACAAGTGTTGCTCTCTTATTGGTTACGATTTCCAACCCACCGCTTTCCCTTTAATTCTGCCATAAATTTTCCAACTGTGTCATAAATACAGGCAGCCTATACAAGTTGAAGTAGCCCATCTCATTTGTCAAATCAATCTACGGTTGAGTGTTGAGGGTTGAGTGTTGAGGGTTGACCATTTACACAAAGATATAAATATTATGTGTCTGTTCACATTTAATTATCAAACACATGCAGGATCTAGATTGTCCTTAGATCAATTATTAATTTACCCAACTATGTTTGTTCACTTACCTGTCCTGCCATTTCTTAAAGTTTTGTGAAAACACAAGGGCAAATTTATAGTCTCACTAGTATATATATCTATCAAATATCACAGCGGTGTTTCACTACTCATTTGTTCTCACACCAACAAAATCAGAATTGAAATTGTGAAGTTGAAGGAAAGAAACCATGTCTCTAGTCACAGAAGAAATCAGAGCCAAGGCAGAGATGTACCGTGGAGATGAGATATGTAAAGAGAAATCACAGGAGTTGCTGAGGGAGGTAGGTTTGCCAAATGGGTTGCTGCCATTGCATGACATAGAAGAATGTGGGTATCTGAGAGAGACAGGTTTTGTGTGGCTGAAACAGAAGAAAAGCATAACCCACAAGTTTGAAAAGATTGGGAAGCTTGTGAGTTATGCAACTGAGGTCACAGCTGTTGTTGAACCCAACAAGATCAAGAAACTCACTGGGGTGAAGACCAAAGAGCTCTTGCTTTGGCTAACACTGAGTGATATATACATTGATGATCCATCAAGTGCGAAGATCACTTTCCAGACTCCTGCTGGACTCAACAGGTCTTTCCCTGTTTCTGCTTTTCAGGTTGAAGAGAAAGAGAAGAAGGATGTGAAGGATAAAGAGAAGAAGGAAGTGAATGGAGTTGTGCCAGTGTAAGGATGTGAAATAAGCTTCATTTCATTCCCTGTAGTGTTTCTTCATGTGCACTTTTTATGTATTGTCCTGTCCTCTTCCTAGTGTTACTCATTAAATAAGAAAAGACTGAAATCGAATTTTAAGGTGTTTTCCTCTTTCTGTTTCAAAGTCCATTGATCCCTTTTTTTTTTTTTTTTCAGTAGCATCTAGATATATATTAGCAGATCTCAACATGAGACTAGTTCAATACTTATGTCTTATCGTTACAAGGATGGGTAAAGAGAAGTTTCCCAGATTGATAAAACATCAATATCATTGATCAAGGAAAGTTTGTTTATTATTTACCCTGCCATGTAAATCTGACTATGAGCAGTACTAAACCAATATTTTATCCATAAAAAAGCTGTTTATTGACATTGACATAATTGCCACAAGCAATTTAAAGAAGCAACAGAGATCATCTCATTTGCAGAAGGTAAAACTTAAACAGTCATTCATATTCAGATGCTATGACTTCTAGACACCAGCAGATTTACATTATCAACTATAATGAATTAAGGGGTGCTTCAAAAGAAATTGAGGTTTAATGCCTAAAATTTAGATGTTAAGGCAACCACCAATGTGCAACTTGTGAGGCAGCAGTGCCGGGACATTTAACTTACTATCACCATAACCAAGGCCTAGAGATTGAATGTTATTCTCTCTCTCTCTTCAGCAATCACACTTCAAACCCTGAAAAAAACTCACAAATAGTCAAACCATTAGTGAAAAAGTTTGATGACAATTAAAATTAGCAGAAGAAGACTTTGTGTGCAAATCATTAGCACCAATGTGAAGGGTAAGGAAAATTAATAACTTGAGATCTCTACGATGAAGTCAATCAAATCACAGAATGTCACATCCACGCTTTTATTTGAAATTATTAGCATGGTCAACAACAAAAAACTTTTTCCCCCCAAATTGATATCTCACTGAAATTTATCTCAATTAGCATACTATTCTATCCCGAGTTACTAGAAGGTTGACACAAGAGAGAATGAAGTAGCTTTGTTAGTAGACCAGGTTTTTTATATGCATTATACCACAAAAAATCTGTATGCAGCATCAAAGTATAAAATGATGATCAAGCAAAAAAAGAAGAACAATATAGAATTAATACCCCGGCAAGTTAAACTCCATTTGCCATCAATCCACTCCTGATGTAGCCTTAATTCAGAGTGCTCGAACTGCATTTCCTCAAGGGTGTTCTTAAAGTAGACTATGTACTTTGAGTTGGTAAGAACCTTGGAAATCACACCCCACCCACCAACCATCATATACAAAGCATCAACCTCATCAAGCCTATTGAAGCTATCGACCACCACAGTATCTGGCGGAGAAGGTCGTATGTGCAGAATATCCACCTCTTCCCTCAAAAACTCTGTATCATCTTCCGTTCTCAAGCTCTGGTACTCAATAAGATACTTGTCCTTCCCAACTGGTTCAATAACAGTTCAGCAAACCAAGCACCATCAAAACCATCTTCATCACTGCTAACCTCAACTAATGCCCCCTTGTCAAATTTCACTTCAGTCACAGCTTTGTCATGCTCGTCCTCTGTTTTGCTTTCCGTTGACACCTTCTGCAGTTCAAAATTTAAAAAGCTGAGCCCATAAATGACTAAAGACACCCAAACTGTCAACATACTGACAGGAGAAAACAAGAATATACATACAGGAAGAATGATTAAAAACATGTAATTGAAAAGACGGCTAGGCTTTGCATTTAATCCTCCTTGATCAAAGGGGTTGTTAGATATCTAGTTTATTTATGTTTTTGTAGCGAGGGAAACTCTTTTGTCCAAATTCACTAGTTAGTCACATACCAAATTCAACATACATGGAGAAAGTTTTTGCTCCTTCAAGGGCTATTATCCAATGGCCATTGCCAACAGCAATGAAAATCACATCAAGCTTCATAGTGTTTAAGACATTATCTATAATTGATCACATTCTCAAGAAACCAGAATATATCACTATCACAAATGCTGGATGACATGGTATTGATACATACAACAGCAACGACAGAAAACTACAAGACAAATCATCATGGCACATTTATCTTTAAATTATTTCAACATTTAGTTTATTTATGTTATAAATTCACATCAAATCCACATTCTCAGTTCCTTAACCAATATTATCAATCAGCAAAAGGCAAAGCCAACATGACACATAAGTATCTCTAAGATGGAAAAATCAAGTTTCATGAATTGCCCTTAATTTGGCTAAACAAGGAGATTCCACTGAATCCAAAATTCATTAGTTGGCTCCTTTGAAGTAATGAAAAACATCAAAAACATCACCTGAATTTTCATAAAATGCATTAGATTCCTTTTCTACAAGTTAGGTCGCTGACAAAAAAAAGATACAATAAGAACTATCTATAGTTTAGCCAAAACTTAGAAAAGTCGATAAAAATATCAAAAAGTAAAAAGCAAAAACAATAGAAGTTCATTAGAGATGACCTAAAACATAATTACCTGAACTAAGAATGAGAAACCAAGCAAAAGAACTGAAAGCAAACAAAAAGGAACAGATATGATTCAAGTAAAACCTTGCTACACAGCACACAGAAAGTCAGGTGTGAGAAAGTTATAGTAAAGATGTACTCCTACTCCTACTCCATTAACTGGAATGCCTTTAGAAATCTCCTTTGACAAATTCAATCTATCAATCAAATGCAGAAAATTTGATCTTATTCTAAAGAAGTAGATCAGAAAAATTGTGCCTTTTTTTTTCTTCCGTAGAGACTACCACTTCTTTGGTAAGAATATTAACACTTAGGACTCCTTACTATTACACATTTTAAGTTTCTAACTGTAAATCCACAATGCAGATAGCATAAGAAATTTCATCAAAATCAAAGACCACAACATATAAGTACCATCTAAAACCAATTAATAAAGATGAGTTTATTTTCTTTTCTCCCTTACGAAGTCATATAAAGAAACTTTAGAGGATTCAACACATCACACTAGCCACATTGTATGCCATCGTTAGGTTCAACCTCCTAATTGATTTCACATAATAATAAACCTTGAGCAATGAAGGCTTTAATCTTATCTATGCAACTTGCCCAAAACCCTTATTGTGTATATACAAGCGCAAACCCACTGAACTTGCATTCTCATTAACTTATGTAAGCCAGGTTATTTCATAACAGGCAAGCTGCATAAAATCCCACCAGCTATGTAATAATCTGCATGCAGTGGCTTTTTCCATTGCCCCATATGATCTTATCATCTGCTCTCCAAGAAATACCAATTTACATTCCCAAACACAACAATCCAATATAGTCAGACATATAACACGGTATGAAAGAATAAAACACAAGAGTTAAAAAAATTAAAGCAAAAGAAGCTAACTCCATTCTCTTCTTCTTCTTCTTCTTCCTTCAGGGTGGTTTCCACTTATCGCCACCAAGCCATTCTCTATGCAGCCTCAAGTCCTCCTTGGTAAACTCAAACTGCTCCTTGGAACTCCTAAAATACACTTTAAATTTATCACCATTAACCTCAGTTATAGCTCCTTCCCACCAGCCATCATTATAAAACGCATCCACTCCTCACAAACTTAAACTCTCTCTTCTTCTCTCTTGGAGCCACGGCCGAAGCTGCCCCAAGTCGATAATTTCCCTCAAGGGTTTGGTTCCTGACTCGTCTGAGAAAAATGGATGTATTGGATCAAGTAGTTTGAAGGATCCTTTTTTGATGCACGACGAATGACTGTGCCAGTGAACCATGACCCACGAAAGCCGACGTCGTTTGAGGAGACCTCGACCAATGTGCCGGCTCTTAAGATTGAAGATAGGAATCCCTGGTGGTGGGTTTGGTGTTTTGGAGCCATTTCTGGTTAG